TAAATTAAATATGAGATCATGTCTACATATAAAAATAATCAAACTTATAATCTTAAATTTTAGCACTTTCAATCTCCTTCATATATTCATACAATAAACCTATTTATAAATATTTCATAAAAAATCTTACATTACAATCAATATCTTTAAAATAATTACTGGAATTAACTCAGTTATTTTTATATGTCCCTAAAATATTGCGATTCCAAAAAATATAAGTATATCATAATCCAATAATCCAAATATATATCTTTAATTTATACGTACATATCAAATCTATACTCAAAAATATATATTTTCTATCTTTCCGATTATGTTAAATAAATATTGTTTCACTCACTATTCTTAATAAATAAATTCTCTCACCTCACTTTATTCCCATCTCAATTGTTAACACTATACCAATAATTATCTTTTCAATATTATCTTGAGAAGTCTACACTAATAGAGACTTTTTTTAAATCAAACCATTTTTAGAGATTCTACTAAAAGTTGATAAAAATTAACCATTATTAAATAAAATAATTCTCATTTAATATGTATCTTAAATTGATTGCTTCACTAGTTTATTCTTACTTTGATAATTTATATTGTCAAACTTTAGAAATAATTATTTTTGATCAATTTTAATTTTACTATTTAATTAAAAACAATGATTGATATCTTATTATGGATTATAGAGAGCTTAATTTCTATTATATGTAGATAAAAATGAAATAGAAATAAAAAAGAGAACAGAATAGAGTATTGTTATTCATAATCAAATAATCATCTGCGAAATCTTGCTATAACCAACCATATGTTTGAGCATGTCATCTTTTACAATAACTCTTGAGGTGTGCTATTCTATCAGATCTTTAATCTTCTACAATTAAACTTAATTCTCTGTCGGGGAATACTTAAGTACTGGAAAAGAGAGTTTGCGTAAGTTCTGTTTCTTCTTTTCAATCATAGGAGCACTTTTATATTTATAGTTCACATTCTCAATTCTTCTATCAATTCTTTATACTATTTGCGGCAGTTATTAGATATCCTTAAATACATCACTTCCACTGTCAGATTTTGTTTCAGTTTTTTTGTGAAAAAATCTGTTTTATTGCACATACCCATTGAAATACTTTTTCATAGTAAACAAGTGCTTAGGATTAAACGTTGGTTATGATTGATGTTATTACATTAATTAAATAATAAAAATAAATAATGGATCAAACTAGAGAAAGTTTATTATGTAGTTTCATAATTAATTTGAATTAAGAACAAAAACAACCTTTGTAGTTTGTTTTTTTCATTTAAATATGCTAATTAAGTACTTTTTAGATTTCTTAAAACTAAAAGATAAAATTTCATAGACAGAATTCTATTCGTTTCTTTTGTATAAATTATGTAAATATAATGACACAAGAGAAACCTTCAAATAATAAGCTATCTAAATAATGAAGTTAACTTATACAATTTAAACAATATCAATAGCATTTTCTCTTATTTTGAGAGATACTATTAAATGAAAGTCTAGATTATGTATAGCTGGATATAAATTAGATAATATTTAGTAAGTTATTTGGATTTGTTCAATAAGACACATTAGTTAAGCTCAAATTTTGATATAATTTGTATGGTGTTCATGAGAATTATAAATTTAAGTCTTTTAGAGATTGCATATATAATTTAAAAATTTAAATATAAAAGATGGGTGTAGATATTAAAAAAGAGGATTTTGCTTATCTAAATTTAAATAGTTTTTATTTAATTAAGGATTTACAATAAAATAATGGTATTATTAGAATAATATAATTTTAGTAATTCAAATTAATTATTACTTAATATTATCAACAATTCTTTGAAATTACTATAAACTTGAGTACATTTAATTTAATTCTGAATGTTCGTTGTTAAATTTCATGAGTTTGAGTTAGATATCTTTGAAGTTTGGATTGTTGGATTATAATTTTGTATGTAATTCAGTCATTACATCATCAAAGCCTTAATTATAATCATTTATATTATAGAGATAAACTTATATATATAGAAATAAAGATACTGTCTTTGATCATGATTTTCATTAAAGAAATCATATTTTTATTCATAGTAATTTATCTTTCAATACTAACTTCTTATTATTTCTTTTATTTAATAGCTTCTCCTAACATCTTTAATTGTTCAAGAAATAGCTGTTCATCATCTTCTTCAAATAACATTGGAAAATCTTCTCTTTCAGAATTAACTTCACTCAATTGAAAAGGAGTTACTTTTAAAATTTATAAATTTAAGGCAGGAATCTTACTTGTTGATTTTTATAATTAATATGAATCTCTTTATTTAATTAATTCCTCATTTTAATCAATAGTCTTGATACAAGATTATCGTTATTACTTTGGTGTTTTATTTTGATTATTTTTTTTAGGAGTAATACTTATATTCTTTTTTAATAATTCTCCTTTGTATTATTTAACTTCTTAAATATTTTATACTTTAACAGGTGTTCTGTTAATTTAATAATTTTCATTTTTAATATTTTAAGGTGTTTTAGGTCTAGCAAGTCTATTACTGACTTTACTTAAACGAGTAATAGTTGATCTATCTGTTGTTTATTATTGCATAGAATCATTGCTATTTATACTATGATCTAATTTAGAACTCTATTTAGAATTAATAATTATTTATTATTCTAATTAAGTATATGATAATTCTATTCTTCTAGTATAAAGTAAATATTTAATTAGTTTATCTTCACATTTATCTACATTCTCTAATGGATTAAATCTTAGATTCAAACTTTCTAATTTTAATTTCTCTAAAGGTTTTAAATCATTTAAATTTAATTAGTTATGTCCAACATCAATTCTATTATAAATAATAATTAATTTACATTTCTAGATTGTCTAATTTAGTAAAACACCATAATGCACAAGATAGTTAATTATTACTCAAACTTATTTTACGAAGTTGAATATTATTATCAAATATATTAGAACTTATTGATGATATACTATTATAACTCAAATCAATAATTCTTAAGTTCTTTAAATTCGATAAAAATGAACCAACATATAAACGAGTACCTTAAGATTTTAAAGACTTTTAAAAATCATCAAACACACTTCCTAATTAATTATGAGCCAAATTTAATTCAACCAAACATGAACTCAATTAAAAGAACTAATTTATACGATTATGACTTAAATCTAAATTGTATAAACATTAGAATTATGAAAAACCATCTGTAGAACCTAATAAATTATGACTACAATTTATTGATCTAGTTTTTGTATAATTTAGATGTGTATCATAGATAGCATTCTAATTCATAATAATATGTTTAATACAATGGTATCCAAGTTAAAGTTCTTTATTTGTTTATTAGACATATTAACAACTTGCATTCTTTTTATGCTTAATTTAATATTTAAATACAAATACTACTTCATTTTTGTGCTAATGATCTAAAAAAAGTAAATTAAAAAACTCAAACACAAATTTAACAATAACACTCTTGCTCAACATTACCCTCAATTTAGAAAATATATTAAAATTAGTACTAAAGGAGAAACTATTATTGATTACAATAATCAAAATGCACTTAATGAATTGAATCGATGCATCATGGATTATTATTTTAAAATTCAAGAATTTTCTATTCCATTAACTCAAATGATTCCTGCTCTAGGATGTAGATTAAATTATATAGAATGGGTTAAATAATAAGTAGATAAACATTCATTTCCTATTACTTATCTATATGATATTGGAACAGGCTTTTCAGGTGTTTTGATTTTCTTAGCATATAGATTATATGGTTGGAAAGGAATTGGAATTGATACATCTGAATAAGCTATTATTCATGCACAATCTATTGCAAAAATCAATAATATACAAGCTGAATTCAAAGTTGGAGATTTATTTTAATTCTTACAAGATGGTATGGTAACCGTTTGTAATCCTCCATTTTATGACTATCAGGAAGAAAGAGAATATAATCGAATTATTCAAAATTAAGAAACATTTGTAGAAGGAGGAGAAGTAGAATTTGTTAAAAGAATGCTACAAAACTCAAACTTAAATTGTTTATATACAACTATCCTTGGTAGAAAATCTAGTCTTAATTCATTCCTAGACATTCCTGATAAAGTTGAATTGCATTAAGGAAATAATATTAGATTTGCTTTAGGATGGAAATAATAATAATAATAAAAATAATAATAATAATTATTATTATCATCAACAAAATTATAATGATTAACTTTGACAAATTTTCTATAAATATTTTCTTTATTAATATACTTATTAAATAATCAACAAAAATATTTTTTAAACATTAATTATGTTATTTAGTATTTCTTTCATCAAGATGGAATGTAATATATATAAATAAACCATAAGCAGATACTTATAATAAAATCATAATAAATATAATTGGTAAAGCTATTTTTCAAACAAATATATATGGTTAAAATTTTAATTATTTAGATAATCAAAAAATTTAAGAAAATTTCGATTTTTTAATTGCATTTGAAAATTTCAACATATTAAAATAATCTTCGTATAATCACTTTAAAGTTTTCTTTAACAAAAACCATGGACTGCTTATTTATGAATTTTTATTTCTTATTCTCCATGCTAAAGCAATCAATTTATAGAATTAATTCAAATATAATATAAGTCTTAATCCTTTTTAGGTGATAATAAATCGATTTATGTAGAATCAAATACATATAAAAAATAATTTTAATATTTTATTTATATTTGATTGTATCTACCTATTTATTTCCTTATTTTCTGTCAAATTTTAGTTTACTTTTTAATAATCTAAATTAAATCCTCAAAATTAAGTTTAAAGCTCTATTCTCATACTAAAATTTATAATTGACTTAAATTTTATTATTTTAATAAATTTAATCAATAATTGATATAATATTTATATGTTAAATTCTTTATAATTTATCAAGTATTTTTTTGATAAAATTGACCATAATTGTTATTTAGAATTTATTTTAAATAGTTTACTGCTTAGTAAAAGATAAATGCAAATTTTTCATTTTATGATTGAATTTATTGAAAAAACAAAATTTATATGTTTATATGAATTTTAATTAAATTTTACGTTCAAGATCAAAGTCTCCGGTTCGTTAAATTCCAAGAACTAGTCATGTATCATATTTCAAAGTTAAGGAATAAAGACGAAATCTCTATAAAAAAGAATCATTCTTTTAATTAGAAGCTTGTTTTTAAAAAATAAGATCTTAATTACTAAATTTTGCATTTATTCATATTTATGAAAAAATCGCTGTTGATAATAAGAGAATGAAATTAATACAAGAATGTTAAAATTAGAAAATATTAATGAAAGCTTTGTGTAAGTGGAGTAAATTATATAAATATAACAAAATGAATTAGTCGTTAATTTCTTCTCCAACATTTAGCAACAGTTTAAAATCTCCAAAATATTCAGTTAGTGAATTTAAGACAAGTTCAACAGGCAAAAAACAATCAAGTTTAAAAACAAAAAAAGTATGTAATGCATTAGTGAAAATTCATAGAAATAATTAAAGAATATTATTTACTTTATATAAAATATTTTAGATATAGAAAGCAAAAAAGAAAACTATTTTATATAAATGGTATAAGAGAACTTACAAAAGATTATTATTAAATGTAAAATTATGCAAATTGATGACAATATTTAATAAATAAATAACAAAATATCTATAAGCTATTAGATAATAAAATCAATGAATAACTTTATTAAAAATAAATATAATATTTAAACTCTTTTGTATATTTTGATATCATAATTATAATGAATTTAGAAACAACTATTGTAAGTTGAATTCTCTCTAAAATAAACTTATTAAAAAAAAGACAATTAAAAAGATATCTATACAAGGATAAAAAAAATAATAATCAACATACTTTTCAGATTTCAACTTTAATTTTTGATTTAATAGGATCAGATGGAATATCATAAGCATAGCAATACAATTAATTATCTATTCTTGTTTCACATTATAAATTAGCATCATTAAATAAGCAAAATGGTTTTGATTGGCACAGTTTCTTTCCTTTAAAATCAGAACACCTAATATATAAATAATTGAAATGAAATACAATATATTTCTACAAATATCATTCTCCCAAGTACATTAATTAGTTTCTAAGCAAGATTAATAAGTTGTAAAATATGAACATTAAGTACATTCACCAAAATATTAGAAACATCTTCTTCCATTCACAAAATTGGCACATGTATTAAATTAATTATATTTACAATCCTTTGCTCTACATTCATATTCATCAAATAAATCTCCAAGGTAAAAATATTATTTTTCCATATATGATGGTTCACCATTAATTACCAATTAACATCTATAAATATATATATATTATTTACCTATCTTTTAATCTCGAATTTCTACACTACATAAAATCATTGATTTAATTGCATTTTGATATGGATACGCATTTATTATGTTCCCAAGTGCAGGCAAAGTAATATTCTTTCATTCCAATACATTATGTATATGAAATAATATCCTCACAAGTTATACCTATTAATTTCCTTTAAATTAATATAATTATACTTTACATTAGTTTTTTCTAACAACTCATTTCAATCCAACCACATTCATTCTATCTTTCACATAAATCTTGATTATCATAATAATTGCAATTTGCATTCATTAATTTACACTAATTCCTTTCTTGATTCCATTAACAATTAACCACATTTAATGAAACAGATTCACATGAAATCTAATCATTAAGGTCTTCACATCTTAACTATTTCCTTTAGCAAGCTTAACTAAATGAAATAATTATTGATATCAAAATTATCTAATTCATAATATTTTCTTATTAAATAATCCAAAACTTGATTTTATTCAATAAATGAATCATTATTGATTCTATTATTCCACATTGATACTACTTTATTTAAAACTATTATGTTTATATTTATATATTTCTATTTCATTATATATATTATATTTATTTTAACATTCTTACTTTTATAAATGCATACTTATATAATTAATACAATTATTTGTATTTTACAAAACTTCAAAATTATAATAGTCATATTAATAACTAGAATTACATTTTTGATAAATATATTATAAAATCTATTAACAATCAAATGTAATAATAACACATATAATAGATATTATTTCACATTTTCTTGGACCCTTTAACTTTTTTAATTTAATCCTATTAAAAATCCTCTGAAGAACTTCCTTAGGAATTTTCAACAACATCACTAAAAAAATTATTTTAAAAAATACTCTTTTTTATATAAATAATTTTTCCTTTTTTTTATTCTTTTAGGTCTAAATTATGGACTTTTAGGACTCTTTGGCTCTTCAACAACAGTTTCTGTAATTTAATACTTATATTAATATAATTATTACAAATGGTGATGTTTTGCTACTTTATGAAAATATACGATCATTGGTATTCGCTTTAGTTTTTCTAGGAACATTCCCATTTAATTTCCCACTTTTTATTGTTGTATATCCTTCCCATCCTTTAATCACATTTCCTGTTGCAGCTGTTTCTTCTAAATATTTGGTTTCTAAATCAAATATTTATTTTTCTAAAATTTTTAACTCATTCTCAAGACTTTGCCTTTTATCACTTAATTCTTAAAACTTTTTATCACTCATTCTTTAAAAACAATTATATATATAATAATTATTTACAAAAAAATACAAAAATTAATTATAAGCAATAATTTGAATAATTCATAATTTTTATGTTTGCTAGATTATGAGGATTATTGATATTATTAAAAATAGTTATTCAGAAAATACATTAAATAAATAAATTATTAAATATCTCTAATGACAACTTATTGAGTATAATGTTAAAATTATATGTTCTTTATTTTTTAAGACTTAATATATAATACACAGGTATAAATCATATATTATTATAATTATTGAAGATGTATATGAGATATCACTATGAACCTAAATCTCATATGAAACAATCTGATTTAAAATTGTACTCCCATCATTCACACACTCCAAGCCTACCTTTATTAGTTAGTTAATAACTAAGTCCGGTGAAAGAAAAATCACCATAATTAAGTAAAATGGGAGAACAGATTTTAAAGTAATGGGGATTTTTCCCTGATATTGCACCTACAACGAGAAAAGAAATAAATACAGAACACTTTAAATCAGAAAAAAAGTTTAAAGATAAATTTGATGACCTTTTATATAATCTCAATACTGAAAGGCCAAAATATCTGAATAATCATGATTATTACCAAAATGATTTTAATCTTAAAAAGTCTGTACATTTCAACAATGTAGTTACAGTGAAGGACATTGAAGGTCAAGTTTCATAAAAAGAAATAAAACTATTTTCAAGAAATAAGAGAAGATAAAGAACTAAACTTGAAAATTAGACTGTGATTAGTTGATCTTTCTTTAATTAATTTAACCTAATGTTTCAATATAAATATTTAAAATTATATAATTTGACCAAAACTTTTTTTTTTTCTAACTAAAGAAAGAATCACAAAAGAAATAATAATTGATAAACTAATGATTTACTTTAGTTTAAATCTTGCATAATGCACAAAACAAAAATAAAAAATTTATAGATTTTTTTAAATAAATCAAACAATTTACTATAAGTAACAGAATTTAAATATGAATTTAGTGAAATATTAATAGATGAGAATTATAATAAGTAAAAAATAATTTGAATAGAGTTTAGCAATGATATTAAAAAAAGAAGAGAAAATTTTATCTATTTATCTAAATTTTTAACTTATAAAGGCATCTAATAAATTATAAAACTCCAAATTATGAGTTTATATATATAATTCTTTAAATAATAATACATAAATTTATTTCGTTATATGTTATGAAAACTCAAACTCAAAGAATTAACAAACTATTTAAACTAAAGAGATATAATATCAATAATTTCTCTTTTTAAACTTCTTTTAATTTATAATTATCCCTCATATAAGAACTTTCATGATTAATTTTAATTTACAAAGAAACTTAACAATATTAATTTTCTCCACCTTTTTAATATATATATCAATATCTTCTAGAGTTTTGTATATTCTAAAGAAAAACATTTTAAATAAGAAATTTTGAAGAATAGAAATTGAAGATTATAGTTCAATAAAAATGTTATCTTGATTCAGATTAGATTACATTTAGGGATTATCTTACTTTTATATTTATGGAATAAATCATAAGTTATCAATTGAATAATGATACAGTTTAGGACATAAATTATGTAACATAAGTTTAATTTCTATTCCAAATATCATCAAAAATTGAATATGGTTACGTAATGAAATTGAATTCTATTTAGACATTCATAATGTTTGTGCTATCTAGTTCATAAAGTTTAAGATCATTTAATTTTGCAAATAAACTTAAACTCTAACATAGTTATTGATTTCTTTTATTTTATCCGTTCAAATTACCGATTAATACTATTTATTATTTATTATTTGTAATTGGTAAAGTCTAATATATATCATGAACCTAATCCATTTATTCATAACAACCACAAATATTAACAACTATCAATATTAAATCAGCTACATTTGAATAGAATTATACCAATCCCAAAGGTTTTCCATCCCATTCTATTGATTATACTTCATAAACTCTGTGTTATGCTGTTTTAGCTAATTTAACTTAAAAATGAATATCTTATGGATAAAATTCTCGATGGAATTATCCATAAGTTAATGAATCAATTAAACTGCTTTTTCCTACCTTATTTGGACCTAAAACTAGCATCACTTGTGACATCAGAATTAAACAAAAAGTATATTTAAATTATATAATTAATCATATATAGCTCTAATCTACCCCTACTTTTTAATTAATTCAATTCATATATAAATTAAATAGATTTAATTCTTTATTTTTAAACCTTAAAACTATGGAGAATAATTTGATTTTTTTTAAATATCATTTTAAATGTCTAATCCCAATTAATTATTATCAATAATTAGAATAAAACTTAGAAATCCTCTATTTTAAATAAGAAATAAATTATAAAATATCAAATATTTCTTATTATATTACTTACTATCTATTTATAATTCACCCAAATTTTAATAGAAGATTCATTTATGATTGTCCAATTGGGTAAGCTTCGAAATAATGCAATTAAATTAAAATATGGATGATTTTTTAAATGATTTCACCCTATTGTTTTTATCTTGATTATTCAATTAAAGTTTCTTTGGCTACTCATACAGAAAAAAACATTCCTTAAGTCTTTTCCAGTTAAATATGGATCTTTTATTCAAGTTCGAATTCCTTTTCATTAAATTGTTATAGCTTTCCATTTTTTATCTTAATGTACAGAGTTTTTTTTAGTTCTTTTTCTATTACTGTTTATTGATTTATCCACTTTTAATAATTTATAGTATCAAAACTCTTTCTATTTTAGTTTCTTAGGCCAAATTTATAAAAAAATTTAAAGAAATCTTTTAATTTATCGATTTCTTATTTTTTTTTTAATCTCAAATTTTAGTTTTTGATTCAAAAACTCTTTCATTATTGAAAAATGATATTTAAAAATTTTCTTAAGAATAAAAATAAAGTTTAAGTTAAAGCTTTTTATTTATTAATCAGTTTTATTACAATTAGTAAAACCAAATCCATAAATTTAAATAAAATAAAATAATTTTAAAAAATGATTAAAAATATTAAAAATATCTAATTAAACAAAACTATTTTCTTAATTAAATAATTAAGTATTTATCAGAATGACTGCAATAGATATTCAGAATTGAACAAAATTTGAATAATTGAAAAGCAGGTTAAAATTTATAGGAATATAATAAAAAACAATGCCAATTTAAATATTCGTCAAAACATTAACAGGAAAGACAATAACTCTTGAGGTTGAAGCACATGATACTATTGATAATGTTAAAGCTAAAATCTAAGATAAGGAAGGAATTCCCCCTGATTAATAAAGACTTATTTTTGCAGGAAAATAATTAGAAGATGGAAGAACTCTTGCAGATTATAACATTTAAAAAGAATCTACACTTCACTTAGTTTTAAGATTGAGAGGTGGTTAATGATTTAAATAATTCATATGCTATAATAATGAAAAAAAACCATTTTAATTTTCTTAATAGAATTTTTAATATTATTTATTCTATTAATAATATTTATGAAAATATACTATCAATTGTTTTAATCATAAAATGCACATGATTATTCAAAAATTTTATCTAGATCTTTATTATAAAGTAAGGTTTCAAGTTAATAAATATTTATATCTTCAACATATATTTCCTTAACTCTCATGCATTTTACTAATTATATTATGATAACCTTCTTCTAATTTTTATCAATTTCTATTTAGAATATTTCTCCCATTAAATATTAGATATATCTATTTATACAAGATTTATAAATCTTATCAAAATTATCTTTAGGATAATAAACATCTGCTTCTTCAAGCCATGAAAGTTCTACATATTTTTATTTTTCTTAATCAGGTTTCTGATTGATATTCAACTAAAAAGTCTTTAGATTATGCTATATCTATTAAAAAATCCAATTTTTATTATCCGACATTTCTTTGACTAATAACTTCCATTAATCAGTAATAATTAAGCTTTCATAATAAGGAGAATTAAATATATTTCCACCTTCTTCCAACAATTTTAGTAATTCCTTCTACAAATCAAAAATCTTTTTAGATAACATAAACAAAGGAAATAAAGGTTGTTTAATTTATTAATGTCTTACTTTATGTATTTGATCATAAATAATTTAATGTAAAGTAAGATATCTATGTTTGGATAAATATTTTTCAAAAAGTCCATTAATATTACAGCTTTCCTATTAAATTAATAAGATTTCATCTTTATTTTAAAAGCTAATATTACTTATCTATTCATTTTCATTAGAAGTTAGATATTAAGAGAATCCTTTAGAAGTCTATGATTAGGTTTCAGTTTTATCTGGAAAAATAAAATCGGTTATATCTGCAAATTTAGGTGAAACCATTGAAATTAATTTTTATTAATTTTTAACATAGAAATCTTATAATTTTTTGACATCTTCTATTCTTGAATTGAATCCTAAATGAGTTTCTAACTAAAGAACTTTTAAATTAATAATAAACTGTTACTTGGTTTGAAAATAGAACAATCAAATATTTAACTCCATTTTAATCTTTGATCTGTATTATAATGAAGCATTTTTCTTATTAATTCTTAAAGTTCTTATGGAATGATTTTATTTTATGTTATAAATTCTATCTTTTCAGCTATTATACTCTTAAACTATTTTACGTCCTTTTAATATTTCTTACAAGTATTCTTCCTCAGTTGTTGGTGGAAAGGGATAATGACCATCGCATAATAACTAATAAAAAATTACTCCAACAGAAAACATATCAACTGAACTATCATACGGTTTATTTTGAATTATTTCTGGTGCTTTAGTCCCTATTGTACCTAAATTTAATTTAACTAGAGTTTCCTAAACTTTATTTATTTTTAATATACATCTCCAGATAAAATATGACAAAATCCTAAATCTGAAATTTTTAATATAGCTGAATTATCTTTCATTAAAATATTGCTTAATTTCAAATCCCTATGTATAATTCTTTTTTCATGTAGAGCAGATACTCCTTATACAATTTATTTGAAATATTATATAGCCTCATATACAGCAATTTAAAATTTCTTCCAAGTTAAATAACTTTCAAAATTACCACCTTTGTTAAATATGTAATTTACCATCACAAAGTTCGAATACCATATAAGCTTAATTTAAAGATTCTATATATTCATATATTCGCACAATATGTTTATTTTTGACTTATAAAAGTGCATTTTTTTCATTTCTGATTAAATCTCCAATAATACCTCCATTTTCTTTAAAGATTTCCTTTTTTATTGATTTAATAGCATATTTATTTCCTTTATCATCACTAGCTAAATAAACCTATAATTCAATAGACAAGTTAATTTACAACTCCATAGTTACCTCTGCCAATCTCATTATGAAAACGATACACTCCAAGTTTTTTTCCAGGAGGATTGAATGGTAGACGGTTAGAATTTGTTTATTGCATTTTTAATTAGATGATGAAAATATTTTATATTAATGAAAAAATAAATTATTTTTCTTTTTAATACTATGTTATAATAACTTAAATCATTTATAACAATAATTTAATTTGTTTTGAAAACATTGAAAATATAATTATTATTATAAAGGACTAAGTATTATTTTAAATACAAAGAACTTATATATTTTATTAAGATCTTATACTAATTTTCTTATAAATTAAGGTAGAGAATAATTCCATATATAATAATATATAATTTATTCTAAAATTAATTAGTATGAATTCTTTAGAGGAAGCCATACAAAATCTTGATAAAATTTTAGCTCATATTCTAATTGAATAAGATTTAAGACTAAAAGGAATCTAAATAGGACATGGTTGGAAATAATTAGCTGTAATTAAAGAAGCAATTACGAAATTGTATTTTTTAGAAAGAAGAAAATATAATAAAAAACTTTCTGAGTTGGAAAATCGATTAATTTATTATGAAGACAATTATATTTCAGAAGTGGAATTAAAATTAGTAAATACAAATTATATTTAAGGCTTTAGAAGATGTTTAGAAGGTTAATGAATTACTTAATAACTATAAAACTTAATTAATTATAGATAAGAGAAAAGAAATAGAAGAAAAATTATAAATTCTTTAAGTAGAACTTAAAAGAATTTATGAAAAAAACAAAAATAAAAATGATAAAAAATGGATTGAAATGAATAGTTAAATATCTGGAATTTTGTAATTAATTTTAAATGTATTAAATTCAAAAGATAATGCTGAATTTAAAGAATAAAGAGATCAAATGAATTAAATCTTAAAAACTGTTTATGTACAAAAAAGAATAAAAGAAGAGGAAGAAGAGTAATTACTAAAAATAGCAGTAGAAATGGAAACACTTAAAAATTTATAAAGGGAATTAGATAAATAACTTGAAAAAGATTAGGAAAATATTGATAAAGTAGATAATAAATAAGGAACTTTGTAAAATAATTAAGAACATAATTCTCAAGAATTTAATAAAGCTTATCAATTTGTATAAATGAGAAGAAGACAAAAAGTTAAATTATTTTTTTAAGGTTTATTCACTTATATTGGTAGTTGGGGAGGTAAAATTGGAGCAATTTTTGGTTTTGGAGTAGGAACTACTGTAGGAAATAAAATTAGTGAAACAGTTACAAAATCATCAATTAATTGATCTGATCATAGATTAGATTTATAATTTATTTAATTAATTAATTTCATAAGTTTCCTTTAAAAAAATTTATATTATTTTTGTTATTTTGCCAAAATTCTAAGCACCTTAATAAAGGTTGATTGAATTTCATTATTAATATTTAAATAATATTATCATTGAAAATTTTCACAATTTTAAACTTATTTGATCTATATATAAGAATATATTGTAAAGATTTACTTCTTATTTGATTATAAAATATATTTAAAATAAAAATTTGTCGTTTAACTTATTCATATTTAAATGTAGCTAAGTCATAGAAATACTTAAGAATAATGAAAACATAAAGTTGATCCTTAATATAATTCTAATTTCTAACTTAGATTAATATAAAAAAAACTATTATTTATAATGTAAATAATAGATAATCTTATAATAAAATATAAATATTCTAATGAAGATTATAATTATAAATAAAAATCTATATTTTAGTGATTACTTTTTGAATATAGAAAAAATGATAAAGAACTTAAAAAATAAAATTATTTACAATAAAGCTTTTTAAATTAGAACAAAAATTTACTTGTGAAAGATTTTTAACTTTTTTAACATAAGAATTATAAATAATTAAATAATTTTAAAATAAAAGATTTAGTTATAAATGAAAATAAAAATGAATATTTTAAATTATCATTTTATATAAAAAATGAAATACAAAATAAACAAGAATTTTCTAAAAATATATTGAAACTATTATAAAGTTGATATCATGATGCAATTCTAGTTCATACTTTTCTTAAACTTAAAAAGCCTTCTCCTAAATCTCCTTGATAAGCTACATTGATTCTTGCTCGAGAAGGCAAGGAGATAAAATCAATCATTGTTAATCCAGTGACTGATGTTTTTGTATCCTTTAATTTACCTGATGAATGATGTACGACATAACTAATTTTAAAGAAGATTTATACCTACTATTGTTTACAGCATTGATTATTGTTTCTCCATTAACCATAATATCAATTTTAGGTTTTTTTTTAGCAAAGAATCCAAGTGTTATTTCATAAATACCAGGAGCTACTACAATTATATTTGGTTTATCTTTGTCCCATAAGAAATTTTCTGTTAAAGTATTTATGGCTTATATATTCCATGGAATTAAACTACCAGGACTCAAAAAGTTTCCTTTAAAGAGCCATCTGCCAATTATATTTTAACTACATAATTATTCATTTAGAGTATTTTGATTTTATTAGAACCTAGTAAAATCTTCATAACTAAATTTTGATTATAAAATAGTTTAAATATCATTAAAAGCTTTAGAGACATCTTCATGATTTGCTTTTTTATCAAGAGTGTCTTTAAAATCTCTTTTAGATAATTTTTTTTTAATTTCTTTTTAAATTTCACCAATTTATAAACTATTAGATTCTTTATATTCTAAAAATGTGGTTGCATCTTGTTTCTTTCCTAAATCTACAGCAATATTTTCTATCAATGACATATGTTAATGAAAATCTTTGAGAGGAACTTTATCTTCTGTATGTAAAATTAGTGTTTCCATATCAATTTTACCTGATAATTGCTACATAATTTCACTGTGATTTGCCTAATTGGAATTATATTATAATTTATACTTTCTTATTAATCAATTAATAAAATTCATTTCCTTATAATTCTAAAACTGTACGTACTTCATCTTTAAATTCTTAAAATCTTTAGGCAATATCAATTTATTAAGTATTAAGAGCATTCTATACTTCTATTAAATCTGACTTTTATTCTAATAATAAATTAATCTAATTAACTTTAGTTTCTAATTCAGGTTTTTTAATAAATAATTATTGTTAATCATTAATTTCTATCTTCATTTAATCAACTTATTAAACTATTCTTTCTAATTCTTGAAAGAATGCTTTTTTATTTGCATTTAGCAAAGATTTAGTTAGAGTTTAATGTTCATTTAATTATTTCTATTCTTCTTAATAGTATTGTTTAAGTTGATCCTTGAATTAATTGACTGTTTCTGTCAGATTAGAAATTTCTAAACGACGTATTTTTTCATTCAGAAGATCATCAAAATATTTTTTTTAATAAGTTAATTCATTTTTAAGTAAATCTACATCATCTTAAATATTTTTTCTGTTAGATTCCATCATCTAATAAGCTTCATTTTAATCCATTTTATTTTCATCAATATTTAGCATTTTCTATTCTAAAGCTTTGATTGTATAATCAAATTATTATTTGAGCTATTCAATTTATATTTAAGTTGAATCATCTCTACTATTTACTATGATTTATGTTAAATGATAGTACATTCTCTTTTAGCTGTGAATATTTTCTGTTCGAATTAGTTGTGAAGTAAAGAGATGTCCTTCTATATATGTTCTATGTTGAGAGTTATTTAGGTGATTTAGTTTTAAAGGTAAGTTAAGAGGGTATTTGAACTCATTCAAATTTCAACAGAAAATATATTAAAAAAAGTTAATTAATCAATCACATTTCTTACGATACATGAATAGGTAAGCTTAATCAATTCGATTGAGTTGGTTAAGGGAGAGACGCTCAATTTCATCATCATTAAAGAGATAAAACTTCACATTGATTAAGAATAACATACATTCTGATTACGCTTAACAACTGCTACATAATGACCCTAATCGATAGTTCCTGAATGAACAATCATAGCTTACAATTCATATTTAGTATCAATAACCTCTGGTACACAAAAACTAAAAATAAATAAGGAACTATTATACTTTTTAATATTTAATTCCATATCAGCAATAACTGGTTCTTTTATTTTCTTTTATAAAGGATAACTCTAGAAACGTTTTAATTATAAAACTAGAATATTAGGTGCAAATGTAATTTTAACACGCCGTTTAATACTTTTAAACTTTTCATTACAAAATGAACAAGTCCATCCTCCTTCAATCATTTCTTCTTTAAAATAATTATTTAAGCATTCTTATATAGTTAATTTGCGCTACATAAAATTCTTATTAATAAGAGGTAAACTTAAATCATAAAATGGATCTTAATGTTAACTAATTTTATCACAATTAGGACATTTAATAAATGAATTAAGTTAACCATGAAATAATTCATCAATAAATGTAATATATTATTTGAATTAATCTTATGAAGATAGATTCAATTAAGGAGTGATAATGATTTCTTCTTTAAATTTATCTAAAATAAAGAGCAGTAATTCTGAACTATCATGCATTTCATAAATAGAAAAGTGTTTTTAAAGTACTTTAATTAATTCCTTAGCTACAATACGAGATTTGTAATGTACTTTAGATGCCTTTCTTAATAAAAGTGCATATGCATAACTAAAGAGTTTGCATTCTGATTGATATGAATGTAGAAAATAATAATTTAATTAAGGAATCCCCATAAGACATTATAAAACACTATTTAGATAACAGAAATAGATTTCATTTTCTAATCCAACAATTTATAGTTCTTTGATTGGCATAAGTTAAATATTTCTAATTTTGGCTTATTTTAAATCAAGATCATTCATAGAAGGTGAAGCAAATACTTTAAGAGATTAATCTAATATATTATTATCACTTTTTCTATCTAAATCATTTATAGTTAACATCGGTCCTCCTTTATAAATAGCTTCTAGCATATTCCAAACTTAATAATTGACTAATACGTAATGTTTATCCAATACTAATTCTTCTCTGTTTCTAATTTTGTCATATAGGATTTAATTTTTAATTTCTCCAGGATGTAGACCTATATCCTTAATATAGTTAGTATATGCCATGGCCCAGTTAAAATCAATAAGATGAGTCTTATCAGGTAATTCAATCAATTTAGTAATTATATCTCTTTCATGTTCTAGAGTTTTCTTTTCATTTAAAATAAACTTTTCATGTTCTTATAAACTTATATTTGTCTTTTCATTAGTTCCATCTATGTTAGTTAAATTAGTAGAATGTTAATCTTGATCATTTGAAGTTCTTATTTGATATTTAGATTATTTAGGTTGAGTTTATGGTGGATTTTGTGTTTAAGTTTGAATAGCTTTTGGTTTCTTATTACTTTTACAACATATAAACATATTTAATATTAATTATAAAATATATTGCTTACTTAAATGAAGTGATTCTTTTTCTAATATCTCAATTAGGGATTTACAAAATTTAGTTTCCCTCAGAAATAAAGATTTTTTTATTTTATAATTAATCGTACTAATAGAAATCTGTAGATGTAATATAATTTACAAATTGGATCATTATTTAATACTCTAGATAATCGATACAAAATGAATTATATACATTACCACTTTACATCAAATGAAATCAATTTAAGCAAATAATACTTATTTTATTAAGAAGATTAAAGAACTTGTATTCATGTTATAATTATATAGCATTTCAATTTATATCATATATCATTAATTATTAATTATTAATCATTAATCAAATTAGTATCTAATGAATTAATAATTACAGAATCTTAAAAAGAAATAATAGAGTAAAACTAACAAGTGTTGAATTATATTTGATAAACAATTTGATCATCAGCTCTTAAAGAGATATATAATTAAACTAGAATTATCAATTAAAGATAGATTTAAGTTACATTAGGAATGGCATCTAAAATTATATAAAATTAATGTTTAAAAGATCATCAATTTTCATATCTAGATATTACAAGACTTGTTTAAATCTATTAAAATGAATGAATATTGTTAATATGATAGAAAACAATTGAAATAAATTAAATAGTCAATCTTTATCTAATTAGGAAATATTTCTTGATAAAAATATTGTCATGATGTATTAAAATGTAATTTAAAGTGATAATGAAATTTGAATAGAATGATAAAAGATCTAGAAAATTAAAAATAAAGAATTATTAAATTAACTTGAATCTTAATCAACCAATTTTGAATAGTCAAGAAATTGATCTTCATATGAAAGTAAATCTTTGGTAATTTTGAATGAAGTAAATCTGAAAGTTATGAATTATGTGAATAATAAAGAATAAGTATTCTAAAGGAAATAGATAATGAATAGAATGAGAAATGTTGTGATAGATGTATAAATTGTAGTATATTATGAATTAATTTATTGTATATTATATATGCCCTATTACTCACAATAGATACTTATCGTGTGGGACTTTCTTAACAACACCATGTTAAACTCCAAATTATTAAGTTGTGACTCCTAAATCATGCAATAAATAATCGCTAGTTTTAACAAGAGGATCATCACCTATGTATATATTAATTTATTACCTGCTGGTAATTCTGTTAAATATCTCATTCTCTAGAATTATCTATTATATGTATAATCTCCAATGCTATTGTATGTCTTCATTTCTAAAAGTCTTCCTCCATTTCCTTAACTATTAATCACACAATATACCATTCTCTCCAAATATATATCCTTTTACAACTCCATCTACTACAAGCTTTGTTAAAAAACATCCTGCTAATACACCTACTATATATGGAGCTGATTTCTTTAATGTTTTGAATGTATAATTCAATTTAACCATATCTAATGATGTATATGTTTATAATTGCTATGGAGTCATTGTACGAGGATTTGGCCATAATTTTGGATCCACAACATTTGGAATCTTGAATTCAGGTAATTTAGACATAAATTAATTAATATCATTTTTTCAATAAACTTTAACATAATGGTTATTTCCTTAATTAAGAACATCCAAATGTTATTTATTTTATAGGCTTTCTTTTTAAATCATTCTCCTATTTATCCTCATAATGTTCAATTATCTTTTATATCTAATTTTAATTTCTTGTCTGATCTTTTATTGATTAATTTTCTCTTTAAATCTCTTCATATAAATCCTTCATTCTTTCATATTTTTATTACAATTATTCATATTTCTTTTATTACTATTCACGTTATTCTTACATTTAAACCATCTCTTTTTATACATTTTTAAATTGACCTACTTTTATTACATATAAATCATATATCTATTATGCCTATTCTACTGGATTCTTTTATCTTATTAATTTTAAATACATATCCTCATTCGGATTATTTATTATTTTAGCTAAATTATTTAAATAATTATATTCTTTTAACTCAATCTCTAATTTTTCTATCTCTTACTTTTATATTTTATTCTCTTCTTCAAATTATGATATAAATATTTCAAGAGTCTTTAATTTTTAATTTGATTACTTTTCATTTATCTCTAAATCTTTATTCTTCTCTAATAATCGTTTTACTTCTCCTTATATATGTTATACTTCTGTTTATATTGATTCATTTTTTTCTTCTACAAATTTATTTCTTTATTTCAATCTCTAGTTTTCATGCATTAATTCTTCATGATCTGCTAATAATTTAGCCATCTATTATTTTTAATCAACACTCAAATCATTTAATAATTAACTCATCTATTCATCAATACCTGTTATTTCCTCTACTGCATAATGTAATGACTACAATTCTGTTGATCTCATACGACAATTTGGACATTTCCTTGAATTTTAATGACAATTCACACCACAATTATAGTGAAACACATGACCACAAACTGTAAAAACACAAAGGTCTTTTATCATAGGTTCTAAACAAATTGTACATATTGGAATTTCAAATATTTTTCTACCTTTGGCTTTAAGGGCGCTCATTTTTATTTTATTCAAATCAATTAAAAACTAGTATAATAATATAATTATAAATATATTTCAATCTTATTTAGTCAATATATTATTTTGTACTTTATTTATTAAAGAACATTATTAACAGGATATCATCATTTAATATTAACTTACTAAATAAACATTTATTATTAATATCTTAAAATTTAAATATTATTTTTAACTTCTCCATAATTTTATCTAATTTATAATGATGACTTCTATCCCTGAATGTATTCTCTTCTTTATAACTACTTTAAATAAAGTAATACTACTTAATGATTATCTTTTAATAATTAATCATAAGAACTCATAGGTATACCAATTAAAAGTTATTCAATATACTACAAAAAATTATTATCTAAAATTTCCTAATATTCATTTTGTTATTATTATTGTTTTTATTGTTTTTATTTTGTATCCAAAAATTTGCATATTGAATAAAATAATCCTTATGATTATTTCAAAATCACAAAATAAAATCAATTATTTCTGAAAGTAAATTTACATTAAACTCTCAACATTTTCTAACTATTCAAATTAATGTCAAACTATTACTAAAATCTAATAAATCATTTTCCTAAATACTCTATAATAAATTAATCAATATGTAATCTATAAGAGTTAAGACAAATTTCAGCAATAGGTATCATAATCAATTTCAACAACCTTATCATATAAAATATTGAATTGAAAAAAAACTAAATGATGAATTATTCCTTTTAAATTTTATAAGATCAGAGTCATCTTCAAATAATTTCACTTTAATTATAAAATAACGGATTCTAAGGATTGTATTTCCAATTCTTTTTTCATCCTTATTCTAATTTTTAGTGTAAAAATAAAAAAAATAAAATTAAAGATAGTTTATTTAAATGAATTAAAAACAAAAAATTTAATAATTAAAAAATATTTTTTATAATTTCTACTTTTGATTTTACTCGACACATTATTTATAGATCCTTTTATATAATAGAAAAATATAATACAGAAAGTATTTTAATGGATTTAAATAATTACTAAAGTGGCATCTATTCATTTGAAAAAAGAAAAAAGAGCAAATCCCAAATTGATGATTGATTCAAAGTTAAGATAAATTAATAAATAATATAGAATTATAGATTCGTTAAAGTAAAAACGCTCTGTTTTTTGAATAATTTAAAATGTATTAAATCTAGAAATTTACATACCTTTGTAATTTATTAAATAGATACAACTTTCCTAATATAGAATCTTTATATGATTATCATAAATATATTAAAATTATATTTAATTTATATAGATCTAAATAGTTTACTTAAACAATAAAGTGAGAAGGTTAGAGATAACTTTGAGGCAGATTAATGATTTTAGTAATAATTGATAACTTTTTTGATTTAAATGTTACTTAAAATTTATGTAAGAATAAAAATTAGAGTGAAATATTGTCTTTTTAATTTTTGAATTCAAATAGATGATTTAAGAGGTATAAAGAAATAGAGTATTTGTTAATTTATAAAGCAATAAAATTATATAGTACTCTGTTTAAGATTGAAAATGCAATTTTAATATGGTTTAATATTTGTATTAGAGATTATAATTAAATAATTGTAGATATGTTTGCAAAGTTACTCACTTTGAATCCAAATTCATCATCTTCTATTGATATATCAAAATCCAGATTTACAATAGGAAGAGATTTAAAGAATGATAAAGTGTTTTCAAATATAAAGGTGAGTTCTAATCATTTGGTAATAGAATATAAGGATAGTTAATTTACATTGACAGATAACTCTAGTAATGGAACATATATAAATGAAAAAAAGATTGGAAGAGGAAACACAGTATAATTAATGAATGGAGATAAGATTCATTTATTACCAATTTTAAAGGTTTAAGACTTTGAAGTGATTGGTTTTGAATTTATTGTATGCACAAACAATGAATAATTTGAATAATAAGTTTCTAAAAATGAAATAGAGACAATAGCCCGATAAAATTCTGATGAAAAAAGAGAAGTAAAAAATGAGAAATAATTGGACACAAAAACAATTGAAAATGAAATAAAATCTTAAATAATTAATGAACCACCTAAGAAAAAGGATTAATCTCCATTTCCTATACCAAAATTAGATGGATTAGAAGATGAATTATAATGTACAATCTGCAATGATTATTTATTTGAGGCAGTTGCAGCTAATCCATGTAATCATCATTTTTGTGGATCTTGTTTATGTAATTGGTTTAAAAAAAAAACATATGAATGTCCAAATTGTAGATAAAAACTAACAGGAGTTATGATGGCAAGAACTATTAATAATTTAGTTGAAAAATGGTTAAAAGTTAATCCTTATGAAAAAAGATCTGAATAACTTTTAAATAAAATGAAAGAAGAAAATCTCATTTATAAAAATCCATAAGATTATATTAACTTAAATACTTAGTTAACATAAAATAAATTAGATAAATAAAATTTAGTTATTCAAGAAGATTAAGAAGACAATAGCTATGAAGATGAATATAGTGATAAAGAAAATTCTAGTGAGAATGATGATGAATATTTAAGCAATGATGAAGACTTTGATGAAAATTAACAAAACTAATAAGTTATTTTTTAATAATAATAAATACCATAGTAATTTTAACATTTTAATAATAATAATTTACAAGTTTTTAATGGTTTCAATTATCAATACCCTTAAAATCATTTTTATTAACCATTTGGTTAAAATTTGTTTTAACAATAATAATTTATTTAACCAGGCAAATTCTGTAAGAGTTGTAATGGATAAACATGGAAAAATTTCTAATGTCCATAAAACTAACCTCATGTAGGTTGTGGATCATGTGCCAGATTAATGCCTAAATTAGAACCTAGTAATATTTATTTATAATTAATCTAGATGAAGATGATAATGAAATCTTATAAATGTAATGTTGTATATGTAAAGCATACCATTGTTTATTTTATTATGGTGATTGTGTCAATGCTGCACTTTAAAAATTTATGCTTGTTAAAAATTTATAGCATTAAATGGTAGTTCCATATAATTATGTTAACTATATTGAATATGGAAGATTGCTATAGCATCTTTAAAGAAGACCTTAAACAGTAATTTTTAATTTTATGATGGAAAATTACATTAGTAAAGGTTATTTTTATTTTCAATAAAATAAATCTACTTTTCCTAATCCAATTTAGGAAATCAACGTGAAAATAAGTCCAAATTCTGTAATTATATCATTTAATTTATAATTAGCCCGTATGTTGGCTTTGTCATAGAAAACTTATAAATTTTATTGTATTTAGATATGTTTAATGTATGAAATATGATGAACCACTTTTTATGCAAGAAGATTGTTATTATGGTATAAACTGTAGGTAATAACAGTAAAACTAAGAGCATGCAAAAAAATATAATCATTTTTGTGAATAAACAAAGTTTGACTGAAATATTATTTATACTTAAAATTTATTTCTGAGATTTTTCTATATTTTTATTTAATAAAAAAAAATTGTATGATTCATTTGAATATGAATTAATATCAAATTAAATACTTAAACTTAAAGAAGAATGAGATAACAATTTGTAATTGTTAATAAATTTAAAAATAAACTGTAATTTTCGAGTAGAGTGATTTTATACTTGACTAAATAGATTATCAATATTAAAAAAATTATAGAATTTTTATTAATTATTAATCTGAAGAATGTCTGAGAGAATTTTCTAATGAAAATTTAGTTGAGAAGATTTTGAGTTAAACGTAAAGTGATCCATATATCTTATTTTTTAGAATTTATGTTATAATTGAAAAGTTTTTTATGTAAATAAGGAAATGTTGGTTAAAAGATAGAAAATTCTTATAATTAAAATATTAGCGATTATAATATTTGAGATCAATAACAACAACAAATAATAAGTTCAGTGTGAAAAAAAAAAAATTTGTGTTATCATGAAATAATTAAAGAAATTTTAAAATGTTTGTTAGGGTCTGTTCTTTAAGGAAATGGTTAGTAAAGTTGTTGTGAGAAATGATATAAGAATAATATATTATAGAAATAATTATGAAAGTTGAATCACGATAGTTTTCTTTAGGTTTCAAGGATTTTTTAGACTGAAACAATAGCATCTTATCTAAAGTAAAGATCAACATCCATTAGTTTTTCAGGTAGACTTTCCTCTTCTTCATAACTTTGTACATCTTAATCCAATCGAAAGGACTGAATCCTTTTTCGTTAGGCTAATATTTAATTGACATTCTGAGAATTGAAGAGTCTTGACATTTTCATAGATTTCTTTTGGATTGTATTATTTGTGCTAATACGAGATTGAGTTTCGAAAATAGGTTTTGGATCACAATCTGAATTGAAAACACTCCTTATACTATCAAAGCTTTCTGACTCAAATTAACTAACTTTTCTTTGATTTGTGTATTTATTGACTTGGATCTGTATAGATTTGACTTATTAAATTGAAGGCTCTTATTCTAAGCGAGACTAAAACCAACAATCTTATATTTGATTAATCATTATTACTAATATTGATCTTATATTATTTGAAAATATTACAGAGAGAATAGAGAAAATAATGTAATGTTTTTGTATTTAACTTCCCAAGGTTTTGAAAATCAAATTCTAACATAATATTTTCTTATTGTATTTACTTCATAAACATTTCTATATTTTATAATTAAGATAAATATCTATCTTTTAAGATAAAACTTAAGATTTAAGCATGGTAGAAAGAGTAATAAGAAAATAATAATTAATAAATTAGACTTGCTTTTAGAATTCAATTAAAAAATAATGGAATAAAGATAATTTACAATATGTTAGGACACTTAGAATTAAGAGAAATATCTTTGTCTTAATAAAGAATGTTATACATCAAAGAAGAAATAATTACATTGTCATGAATGTTTAGTGAAATTACACAAAACAGAAAAAAATAGTATTAAACATTATGAGGAATTCGTTACTTTAGATTCCATTATTAATGATTTAATAAGAAGGAATAACAAGAAGTTAGAATTATATAATCAAATGATTATAGATGCACATCAATTCAAAAAAGATAAATTCAAAGAGTTATGCACTTTAAGTAAAAGTTTATAAACTTAAATTAGAATCATTTTCTAGTAAGAGCTCAGAATTTCAGAATCAAGTATTCAAGAAGATTGAATTGTTTGTTGAAGAAATTCCTAAATAATTGAATCCATAAATGTCATTGATTAGATAAGGATTACAATTTTAAAAAGAAAAGCTCCAATTTCAAATTGAACAATATTTATCAAATGATACAAAGTTTGAAAATTCATTGAAGCTAATTATTGAAGAGATCAAAAAGAATATTGAAACTTATATAGCTTCAATAGAATTACAAGATTCTTAAACAATTAAGTAAAATGTGTTAGTGAATACAGGAAGAAAACCATCCAATAATTGCAGAAAAAAATTGCAGATTTAGAAGGAGTTAAGACTATGTCCACAACAAATTACATTCCTAAAACAACAACAATGATTATCATCATTCCATTATTGTATATAATCTATACTATTATTGAACTTGATAATTAGGTTATAAAGTAATAAAACTATTTAAATATAGACTTCAAATGAAATTAGATTAACAATTCTAATATATTCTAGAGTCTTAAAAATTAGTATTGTCGGAAATTAAATAATAAAAAAAAGAATAAGACAATTAAATAGAAATACTTATTAAATAGTCAAATGAAACTCTTTAAAGTAATAATAATGTTAAGGATATTTTGATAAATAATGATTCAAAGTTAACATTAAAAATAATCTAATTATCTAAGAAAACAGATGAAGAATTTAATAAAACAAACAATATTTTAAAAGAATTAAATATAAATAAAACAATCATTTAAAATTTAGATGTTAAAACCATATAGTTTAGTGAGCATTCAGAAATTATTAAAACAGATTATCTCATTAATAATTTAATTATTGGATAGTAATTGAATTTTACAAAAGCTGAATTAATTTATAAGAGTAAAAGAGATGGACTTTCAATGAATGCTTTTTGGTTAAACATGCGTAAATATGGATCTACTTTACTTATAGCTAAATTTCACAACTCTGAAATAGTTGGAGCTTTTACTTAACCTCCTTACATTCCATCATTTTATGGAGATTATATGGTAGATAATACTTATAAATCTTTTTTATTCTCATATACAAAAAATTAAATTTATAAAGTAAAAGATAATAAATTTACTTTATATTCTAAATATATGGTAGGACCATAATTTGGATAAGGTCCAGATCTCAGTTTATAAGGACAAGAATTTGATCAATGTTCAAGTAATATTGGATATACATATGAACATGTTTAATAGAAAGGTGATTCCATTATGAAGGGTTCCCCAAAGATTATAGAAATGGAAGTATTTTTATTGAGTTGATTCAAATTCATTGTGTTTATTGATAAGTGTCTAAATTATCTTCAGTAAACATTATAAATATACACATATTAATATCATTTCTTTGATCCTATCTAAATTAAAGCAAAACATAATTCTGTAATTTCTTCTTTATGTTATGATGAATCATATTATGGCACTTTTAAACAATTAAAAGGATAATAAACTCTAGAAAAGTTATGAAAAATCTATTTAGGTGGAATTCTTGAATTTATACCAAATCTGCAATTATTTTCTATTGTACATCCACTTTCAATTAAGCCTAATTTATTAAATAGATGTACATCTCATTTCAAATACATTACAATCTCCAATATTTGTATTTTCAATCTTACATCCAATCTCAAAAACATTATAAGAACCTATTATCATTTTCTTAAAATGATTATTTCTAATCATGCATCCTTCCTCTATTATTGTATAATCTCCTATAATTATTTCACCTATTTCTGATATTATTTAAACTCCTAATGCAATACAGCAATTCTTCCCTATTTTCACATTATCCTTATTGATTTGACTTAATATAAGAGACATTTTAATTATAATTTAATTTATGAATTACATTTTAGTGGAATAAGATGAAAGACTTTAATTATTGATAACTATTGTCAAGAGAATTTAAACTAATACTGTTGTAGTCTTCTCTGAAAATTAAATTAATGTAATGCAATTTTTTATTATTAAGTTTTTGCAAGAGCTATTTATCTTAATGGGAATAAAAACAAATTTTAGAACTTAATAACAGCCAGCAAATCAAAGCTTATAAATTTATTATGATCCCCCTTAAATAGAAGTTAAAAAAGGTTTAATCTTTGTATTGCCGGAAGAGAAGATACCTAATTGTTCTGAAAGCAAATTAGAAAAAAATAAATTAGAATAATTTGCTACTTAATAAGTAATGAAACTAGTCTCCAGCAATTATAATCTTAATTGTTTAGCTGAAAAGGCATACAAAGATTTTATTAATGTATTAAATTGAATTAAAAAATAGACATATTAACATAAATTAGATTAGAATAATTATGATGTTTTGAAATTAAATCCCATGAGATTATGTAAATCTTTTGGATTTGAAGTCTCTCCTAAATTAAATAGTATTTAAGATGTTTATTTATTTTAGATTTCAGATTAAAGCCAAGCAAAGAATATCCTTAGAAATAAAATAAAACTAATTAAATAAAATCTAAATAAATAAAAAAGAAAAGCAAATTAGTTAAATAAAAGTAAAATAAAAGTTGATTATTTTAATGTATATTATTGTAAGTATTAAATATTTTTGTACATCTAATTTTGAGTCATTTAGGTCCATTGCTTATAGATCTTTTGACAGCAGTAATAGGTCTATATTATTAGAATTTAGAAGGACTTGTGAATAATTTTGGTGCTGCAGATTATAATCTACTAGCAGCAGATTATAATCTACTAGCAGCACTAAATAAACGAGAACCTTTAACAAAAGTAGTTGTTGTTGGATATGATTCTACATCTGAAACAAATCTTTAGTATATAGTTTCATTAAATTAACTGATAATTTTTAGGGATTTTTTATGAGTAAAATGGTTTTTAGGTAGATATCTTTCTAATTGTAATCCTTTCATTATAGGTAAATCATGATTAGTTTATTTAGCTTAAATCAATACCTTTCTCAACAAATGATTTTATTTAAAATTTTATTTGATTTAATAATTGAATTATTTGTATGATTCTAATATTGTATCTTCTTTAGTTTCTTTGTAATCATCTTCAAGATTGTTTTCATTCATTTTTGCATACTTTAACAATTTTGAAGCAGAAAGATAATTATGATATGTTTTTGGAATATCATGTTTGAATTCAGAGTAATCAATAGGAACAATTATTTCTTTTTTACATTATTATTTTCTTTCCTTCCAGAATTAAGCCTTAACACAATAGTTTTAACAAAATGTTTCATATAAACAACTTGAATTTAATAGAATCTTTAATTGATGATATCCTATCCTATAATAAGTTATATGCTAAGTAACAACAGCTTTGTGTAATCTCAATTCATTTGCTTCAACTAATTCCATTTCACCAAAAACAGATTTAGCTCCCAACAATTACAATTCAATATCATCTTATATCAATTTGATTTCTCCTTATACTATTAGATAGAAGGAATCAGCTGGCTGTTTTTCTTAATATAAAATGGTATTGTTTGCAGCAGAATCTTATTTAAATTAATCCAATTGATTTTTTAATCTTTGAATGCTTATTTTACTAAATACAGAATATTGTTAAATTAAATGCAACTTCTAAGCTAATAGATTCTCATGATATTCTCTAATAAGTTCATTGTACCCTTCATTACTTAATAAAAGAACCCAAGTATCTCTAATAACTGTACCAATTTCATTTAGAGTGTCTGTCTAAACAAATGTTCGTTAACCAATTTAAATTTCTCCACTTAACATAATCTGAAATTAGGAATCACATTAACTATTTGCAGGTAAGAATTTTAATGATAATTGATGAATGATCTTTTCAATTAATCTCATAGACATTCCTTCTGTTATTACTTTTAGATATGGTATGTGCTATAAGAATTTCTTCAATTACTCAACATCAGAATAGTGTTTATGTGGTCTTTCTAAAAGAGATCGAAAATACTGCAATATGGGTGTTGAAATACATCAAAATTCTATAATATCGAGTAATTTGTAGATTCCAATTTTCTTTTCATTTGACGATCCAATTCTAAAGCTCCTAACATCTTTACTTTCTACTTGATGGTTTTCTTCATTATTTTTTATTTAATTATTTCTAATGTATAATTATCATAAACCAGTAATACAATGAACAACAATTTATATACTCTTCTAAAATCATCAAAGTAATTCCATTGAATTTTAGATTCAATGCCACTAACACTAAATAATTAAAAAATAGAAAAATTAGAAAAAACATAAAAATTACAATTATTAAGTCAAAATATCAATAAACCTATTTTTTATATGAAATGTATATTTTGTTTAAAAAGTGCAATCTACATATTAAATGATTATGAATCCTTGTTTTCTTAAATTAAGATCTTTAATGTTCTCTACAATCTTAATCTTACTTGATTAAATTGAAAATAAGAGATCTAATGAACGAGTGTATATAGATAATATAATCCCATCAGAATAAATGAATATATTGATACTAAAATGGTTTGGAAGAAATAAAGGGAGGATTTGCTTATTTGGCAATGCTTATAAGAATGAAGAATTAAATTGATATATATGTAAATGAGAAAATAGAGAAAGAAACATAATAGAGTTGATTGTAAACATAATTAGAGATTGAAAAGAGTTAGAAGCTTTAATAAGAATTTAGAGCTTTTTGAGATTAGATTTGAGAGTATTTATTAAATAATAATTGATTATCAGAATTTATAAGTATTTCTTTATTAATTTGTAAGTCTGTTATTAAAGAATATAAATACTTAAAATTAAAGAATAGAATTAATTTTGTCAGATTTAATCAGAAAAAATTTGGCTTAAATAGCGTAATTTCGGATCATTAATTTTCAATAATATAATAAAAATTAAAAAATAATGGTAAACTTCACCGTTGATTAGATAAGAGAAATAATGAACAAGCAAAATAACATAAGAAACATGTCTGTAATAGCCCATGTTGATCATGGCAAATCAACTCTTACAGATTCATTGTTGTGTAAGGCTGGTATATTGTCAGCTAAAGAGAGTGGAGATAAGAGAATGACTGATACAAGAGAGGATGAACAATTAAGAGGAATCACAATAAAGTCTACAGGTGTATCATTGTATTATGAATACGATATCAATTACAATGATAAAAAAGAAGAGTTTTTAATAAACTTAATTGATTCTCCAGGTCATGTAGACTTTAGTTCAGAAGTAACAGCAGCTTTAAGAGTGACTGATGGAGCATTAGTAGTTGTAGATTGTATAGAAGGTGTATGTGTTTAAACAGAAACCGTATTAAGATAAGCAATGTAAGAAAAGATTAAACCAGTTGTGATGATAAATAAGATTGATAGAGCAATACTGGAGTTAAAACATGATGGTGAAACTATGTATTAAAACTTTGTTAGAGTTATTGATAATGTAAATGTTATTATTTCAACTTATCAATAAGAAGATATGGGAGATATTTAAGTACATCCAGAACTTGGATCAGTTGCATTTGGATCAGGTAAAGAATGTTGGGCATTCTCATGTACAAAGTTTGCCATGATCTATGCTACTAAATTTAAAGTTGAACCTAAAAAACTTTAAGAAAGATTATGGGGTGACAATTATTTTGATGAAGAAGCTAAGTGTTGGAGAAAAGAAAGTGAAGGAGCTTCAGGAAAACAATTAAAGAGAGCCTTTGTTGCATTCATTATGGATCCAATCTGCAAACTTGCCAATGCTATAATGGAAGGTCATATGGAATAGGCTAATAAAATGTTTAATGGTTTAGGATTAAAACTTACTCAAGAAGAATAAAGATTAAATGGTAAGCATCTATTAAAAGCTGTTATGTCTAAATGGATCAATGCTGCTGATACTTTAATTGAAATGATTATTTGTCATCTTCCCTCACCTAGAGATGCTTAAAAATATAGAACATCTTACTTATATGAAGGTCCTTAAGATGATGCTATTGCTTAATCTATGAGAGAATGCAATCCTAAAGGACCATTGATTATGTATGTATCAAAGATGGTGCCAACCTCTGATAGAAGTAGATTCTTTGCTTTTGGAAGAGTCTTTTCAGGTACAATAGGAACTGGATAGAAGGTTAGAATTATGGGTCCAAATTATGCTTGTGGAAAGAAGGAAGACTTATTTGAGAAGACAATTTAAAGAACAGTTTTAATGATGGCCAGTAAGGTGGAATATATACCTGATGTCCCATGTGGTAATACTGTAGGTTTAGTTGGTGTTGATGATGTTATATTGAAAACTGGTACAATATCTGATCATCCAGAATGTCATTTAATAAGATCTATGAAATATTCAGTATCACCTGTGGTTAGAGTGGCAGTTAAGCCAAAGAATCCTTCAGATTTACCAAAATTAGTAGAAGGATTAAAGAGATTAGCTAAATCAGATCCATTAGTTCAATGTACAACAGAGGAAACAGGATAACATGTTATAGCAGGATGTGGTGAATTACATGTAGAAATATGTTTGAATGATTTAGAGAAAGATTTTGCAAAAATAGAGATAATAAAATCAGATCCAGTAGTATCTTATAAAGAGACAGTTTTAGGATAATCAAAAATTGTTTGTATGGCTAAATCTCCAAATAATCATAATAGGATTTATGCATAAGCTGAGCCTCTTCATATTGAATTATAAAATGCAATAGAAAAGGGAGATATAACATCAAAGGATGATAATAAAGGAAGAGCGAAAATATTATAAGAGTAATATGAATGGGATAAGGATGATGCTTTAAAGATATGGACATTTGGTCCAGATAATTCAGGTCCAAATATTTTGATGGAGAAAACATCTGGAGTATAATATATGAATGAAATAAGAGAATCAATGGAAAGTGCTTGGTAATGGTCAACAAAAGAAGGTCCATTATGTGAAGAAAATCAAAGAGGAGTTAGAGTGAATATTTTAGATTGTGTATTACATGCTGATGCTATTCATAGAGGTGGAGGATAAATAATCCCTACAGCTAGAAGATTGTATTATGCTTGTGAATTGACAGCTTAACCTAGATTATAAGAACCTATCTTTTTAGCAGAAATCACTGTTCCTGTTGATTCTACAGGTGGTGTATATAATTGTTTAAATACAAGAAGAGGAGTTATCATAGAAGAAGAACAAGTAGCAGGAACACCTCTATCATTAATCAGATCATATTTACCTGTTGCTGAATCTTTTGGATTTACAGCACATTTAAGAGGTTTAACTCAAGGATAAGCATTCCCTTAATGTGTATTTGATCATTGGGCTGTTCTTAATGGTGATCCATTTGAGGCTGGTTCAAAAATTAATGAATTAGTCCTTAACATTAGAAAGAGAAAGGGAATCAAAGTTTAATTACCAGATCTTAACGATTATCTAGATAAATTGTGAGTTTTTATTATATATATCATCTAATTTATTATTAATTTAATACTATTTTATTTATTTAAAATGCAAAATAGTTCAACACATACTATTTTTGTACCTGCAAGACTTTCTGAATAATTAAAATTAACCAATTAGAATTTAGATCATATATAAGAATAAAATCTCCTTTTATTTCAACAATTTTAAACTCTAGAAAATCCTAACTTAAAACAACATGCTATTTTAACACTTATGGATTGTTTACTATTTTATAAATCATCATAACCAGTATTTAATAAAATGTTTATCTCACTTATTACTCTTATGAATCAAATTCTAGATCCACAATTAAGTTTCCCAGATATCAAATAATGGACATTTTTAGTTATTTCTACAACTTCAGTCATTCAAAAACTTATTAATAACTATCTCTTAATTGGTTAAAAGAGAGATTAACACATTTAAGAATTGAGACTTAAAATTAATTCAACGAAGTATGATCTCTAAAAGTATTGTTTATAACTTTAGAGTGAAAAATTAGAGAAATGGTAATTATATGAAACCAATTCTTTTATTCTCAAACATTTTGATACAAAAAAGATTGATCCCAATTATTTGAAGACATCTATAACTAAATTAGAAGAGGAAGAAAATAAAATTAATTTAGAGATTTAGAAACTCGATGATGCTTAATAATTTTTAAAAATTGATTTTCTTTAATATCAAAGATTATTACTAAGAAGTTTAAATGAAATTTATAAAATAATATAGAGATTAAATTCTGAATTATAAGATGATAGACTATATGAATTTATTTAAGATTAGAAAATTGATTTTTGGAGAAATTATGCTTCAGAATATAGGGATTTAGTGAAAGATTGTAAGAGTACCTATTATTCAATGCTTGGAACAATTGAAAGATTATATATGAGTTTACAAAACAATGAAGAGCATATGAAATTTTGGATTGAAGTTTTGAAATCTCTGAAGGGATAAAAATAATTACTAAATGAAATCAAAAGCATTATGTTATATACATTATAACAGTTTCCATAAGAAAGTGCTGCTGTTTTAAATGAATTAGACAGAGCAATATTGTATTAAGTCAATAAACTTGTATAATGATTAATATTTTTATATAAAAAATGTCAGACGATGATCAATTTTCTCTTCATAGTTTTGATCCAGATTAAGATAACAAGAATGAAAATGAAATAGACTAATTCTATAAGGAATTAAGTCTTTAATTTTATGGTGAGAATAAGAAAAAGAAGGTTTCATTACTGATGTCAGGTTCGACTCAAGTATAAATGGAATCTCTACATTCTAGGAGACAAGCAAACCCAGCAGAGACACCTTGCCAGATATAAAAAAAGGTTTTATGTATGTGACTCCTCTATCTACTCGTCCAGGTAGTCCTAGAGTTGGTCGAATTCAAGTACAAAAGAGAGCGATAAATCAAAATAGTTCAGGCAGTCCTTCCAAGTTGAAACCTCTACAAACAAAAAAACTTCTCTAACTCCTATAGTCCCCCTATAATTCTAATAACACTTAGAAACAAACCTTCCTTAAGAAATAATTAGATATGATAAAGAGAATTCAGATTCAAGAATTAAAAGAACATTATTATAAATGAAAGAAATATATTTGTTCCTTTCTTCGAACTATATATTTCTACTTAAATTTTTTTTAACTCATCCTTTTCAAAGTCGTTTATATATATAAATTTATCATTGGACAAAAAAATTTCGAAAAAAAAACTTTTTCTACAAAACTCTAAAACTCTCTCTAAATTTAGCAAAAAATCAATAGAGTAAATTGTGTTCAAATTTACACAAACTCTGCTTTTGAAATGATAATTTATATTGTGTATTATGAATTATTTTAAATCAGGAGCTCTTAATCAAATTCAAATACTTAAGAGAGATATAATTCAAAATTAAGAGATCATAAAAATAAATACATAGTATAATCGTCTTGATTAACCTATATGTATTCTTTATGTGAGATTAATTACATTAAAAAATCTTTAATTAAGTTATACTGAAATCAACTGAATTTTGATAATGAATCAATTAATTTTATTTATTCTCGATAATTTATTAAATAATACTAGTTATAGAATATTTATTTTGTTATTAATTTTTTTATATATAATTTCTGATTTCAATAATGCAATATCATGTCTCAAAATATGATGTTTTAGGAACTCTTTAAGATGTTTTTTTGAAAAGTAATCATTCTTAAGAGAGTTACAAACATCATTAAATTCAAGAGAAACCTCTCTCTGAAATTAAACCTAATCTAGATAAAAGAACAAGTAAAACCAAATTGGAACGGTATTTGGAAAAGTACTCATGTAATATAGAATAATATTTTAGAAAGAAAATAATTATAAGAGGAAAATAATAGTTCGATGGTGTAATCTTTTTAAAATGCAAATATAATAAAAGCACAACAAAAATTAAATGATAGTCAAACAGCTTATTCAAGTAAGATGAGTTTACCAAGAGAATACACAGAAAATGATGACAAAGAGCAACATTTAATTGGAGTGGGACTTTAACAATACATGTAATAATTATAGTAGTCAAAACTGCAATGTACAGGTGTAAATCAGGAATGCTAAACAGAAGATTAAAAACAATTTGTGAATATTTAAGGCTAAAATTAATTAGTTTAAGATAATAATGAGTCTAACAACTCTGTGATTGATGAAATTAAATTATTGAGTGGTAAAAATAATCAAGAGAATTCAATTTGTTAATAGATTCAATTAAGTCTTTAGATAAAGAAAGAATAAATATTAAAAGAAGACTTTTTCTGTTAATTTAATACTGAAATCAAACTTAATTAATAAAATAAATAAATTTGTTAATGTAATAATAAACTACCTTAAAATGATTTTGGATGCTAATATGATGAATCTCTGAACCAAATGAATATAATACTTGACGATTCAAAGAATCTTAGAACAAGAAGTAGATGTCTTACGTCAGGAAATCAAAAGTAATAAAAAAATGAACTGAATGGTGATGATTAAATAACTTACTTAGAACAAGGTATAAAATTATAATTATGAAAATGCAGAATTACAATTAAGAGATGAGATGTTAGAGACAAAGACACGTATTATTACTGATATGTAATAGCAATTAAGTGATTTTTATAAATTCTTTAATAAGGAGAGTGAAATAGAATAAGAGAATGATTAAGAAGATTAAAATTCATCTAAGGATAGTGAAGGTTGGAAAGTTAATGAATTAAATAAACAAATAGAAAATGATGTTAATATTTAAGATTAATTAACATAACTTATGTTGAAATAAAGTGTTGAGATCTTAGAATTGAAGAGAGTTCTAAATGAAACATCTGAATAGAATAGATTATTGAAAGAAGAGCAAGATTAGTTAATCATTTAGATAGGATAATACAAATAATAATTAATTGAAATAGAAGAAAATAAAACTAAAGAAATTGATATAATCAATTAAGATTATTAAGATAAATTATCAAAATAGAATATGATAATTGATGAATTACAATCTCAAATTTGTAGCATATAAACTAGTCCAACTGAAATTCCTTAGGTTTCTATTTAATCTACATTAAATCATATACCAGAACAACTAATGGATGAAGTTGCATATGATTCTTAATCTACTAAAGGCAATAACTTAAAGGCTAAGAATGTTCTAAAACATATAAATAAAATGACTATTATGACAGCTGGTTGGATGTCTAATAAATAAGACTACGTTACACTTGGAGTCTTGGGAAGAATAGATTAGATTAAGAGTCAAACTAAATTAGATTCTTTCAAAAAACTAAATTGATCAAACATGAATACATATTTCAAATATTTATCTTACATTTATGAATGACTCTTAAAATTATAATAAATAACAAATTCAATATAATTCAATAATAAGTTGATAATAGGATGTCTCTTGAATTTAATCCTTAAGTTATGAATAAATAAGCATAATTTAATTATTTATTGGCTTTTGAGATGATTCCAAAGCCAATTTTATGGTGTTATATTTAATTTTCCTATAAAAGAAAATAATAATCAATTTGGAGATTAAGAAGCAGTATTAGTCTAAGAGTAAAGGTAAACTTGAAATTTTTGATTCATTCTAATTTACTTAAGTATTTAAAATTTAATCTAAATAGAATTCAATTGATTGTAAGTTCAATATCATATTATTTAGATAACATAAAAGTCCAAACTTGTTTTATATGAAATAATTAGCTAAGAATGTTTGTGTTACAATGGTAATAGTTCATGCTGCTCTTAATTCTGATAATGTCTTTCCAATTAATTCGGGTAAATCAACGGGAGATATTTTTAGCTGATGTTTTTAAAATCATCTATAAGTTTTTTGAAATAGATCGTAATGAAGTTTTCTTCTCTACAGTTGTGTTAGCAAAAGTTGTTGAAGAATGATGATTAATTATATTATTATAAATACTATTTCTAGATCTCTATATAATATATACTATTTTTATGTAAGGAAATTCAGAAATGTTTTGATAAAAAATTTAATATGGCATTAGATTTTAAGGGTAAAGTAGTTATTGTGACTGGAGCTGCAAGAGGTATTGGTAAAGAGTATTGTAATTACTTTGCTGATAAAGGAGCTAAAGTTGTTGTTAATAATAGATGCAAAAAGGATAGTGATAATTATATATTGGTGAATGAAGTAAATATGTTGTAAATAGTTAGATTGTAAGAAATATTAATTTAAATGGAGGAATAGCCATAGCTAATTATGATGATATTTTAGATGGGGATCTGATAATTAAATAAGCGATTGATAATTTTGATAGGATCGATATTTTGATTAATAATGCTGGGATAATTAAAGACAATGTTTTTGCTAAGATGACTAAAGAGGATTATGAGGATGTTGTGGATGTTCATTTAAATGGGACATATAAATGTTGTAAGGCAGCATGGCCATACATGATTAAATAGAGATATGGAAAAATAATAAATACAATTAGTGGCTCTGGTTTATATGGTTAAGTTGGATAGGCTAATTATGCCACTGCAAAATCTGCCATTATTGGATTTTCTTTTAGTCTTGCTAAAGAAGGGGAAGAATTTAATATTAGAACTAACATATTATCACCTGTTGCTGCCTCTAGAATGACTGAAACTATTTTACCTTAAGATATGCTTGAAGGTATCAATCCTAATAATGTGGCTCCACTTGTGGCTTATTTATGTAGTGATGATTGTTAAGAAAATGGTGCAATATATGAATGCTCTGGAGGATTCATAAGTAGAGTCAGATTAAATAAAGAGCCTATCGATTTTCTTTAATGGTCAAAATTATGACAATAACAATATTATTTAGAATACATTCATATTTAATATTNGTAAGTTCAATATCATATTATTTAGATAACATAAAAGTCCAAACTTGTTTTATATGAAATAATTAGCTAAGAATGTTTGTGTTACAATGGTAATAGTTCATGCTGCTCTTAATTCTGATAATGTCTTTCCAATTAATTCGGGTAAATCAACGGGAGATATTTTTAGCTGATGTTTTTAAAATCATCTATAAGTTTTTTGAAATAGATCGTAATGAAGTTTTCTTCTCTACAGTTGTGTTAGCAAAAGTTGTTGAAGAATGATGATTAATTATATTATTATAAATACTATTTCTAGATCTCTATATAATATATACTATTTTTATGTAAGGAAATTCAGAAATGTTTTGATAAAAAATTTAATATGGCATTAGATTTTAAGGGTAAAGTAGTTATTGTGACTGGAGCTGCAAGAGGTATTGGTAAAGAGTATTGTAATTACTTTGCTGATAAAGGAGCTAAAGTTGTTGTTAATAATAGATGCAAAAAGGATAGTGATAATTATATATTGGTGAATGAAGTAAATATGTTGTAAATAGTTAGATTGTAAGAAATATTAATTTAAATGGAGGAATAGCCATAGCTAATTATGATGATATTTTAGATGGGGATCTGATAATTAAATAAGCGATTGATAATTTTGATAGGATCGATATTTTGATTAATAATGCTGGGATAATTAAAGACAATGTTTTTGCTAAGATGACTAAAGAGGATTATGAGGATGTTGTGGATGTTCATTTAAATGGGACATATAAATGTTGTAAGGCAGCATGGCCATACATGATTAAATAGAGATATGGAAAAATAATAAATACAATTAGTGGCTCTGGTTTATATGGTTAAGTTGGATAGGCTAATTATGCCACTGCAAAATCTGCCATTATTGGATTTTCTTTTAGTCTTGCTAAAGAAGGGGAAGAATTTAATATTAGAACTAACATATTATCACCTGTTGCTGCCTCTAGAATGACTGAAACTATTTTACCTTAAGATATGCTTGAAGGTATCAATCCTAATAATGTGGCTCCACTTGTGGCTTATTTATGTAGTGATGATTGTTAAGAAAATGGTGCAATATATGAATGCTCTGGAGGATTCATAAGTAGAGTCAGATTAAATAAAGAGCCTATCGATTTTCTTTAATGGTCAAAATTATGACAATAACAATATTATTTAGAATACATTCATATTTAATATTTTCATTCTATTTAATCCTAATAATCTATATAATAAAATATATTTAAATTACTAATTATAATAATATTATTTACTTAGGTTTATAATACATATACTAAGGACTTATCGATCTATTGGTTTCTTTAGAATTTTAATCTACTCATCTATACCTTCTTGATTGCTATTTCTTTAATCCTTATTCATTCATAGGAATCTCTCCTTAAATCAAATCTAATTTATATTGTTTATGACACTTTAACAAACTTACTTGCCATACACTATATTATAATATTACTCATATTTTTTAGTATAAATTTTATCTGTTGGATTTAAAAGATTAGAAATTAATTTAATTACTATGTCTAAAAAAAATAATAATCAAAAAAAAGATAGTAAAAATAAGTTAGAATAAAATGAAGAAGAAGAATAAATAGAATCAGCTCCTAATTTAGATAATAAAGATGTATAATAAGAATAAGAAAATATTGAAGATATATGTAAAAATTAAATTATAGAAAATTAAATACATAACAATGAATAGATTGTAGAACAAACCTAATAAACTGATTAAGAGAGTTAAATACAAGAATAACATTTAAATAGTTCTAAACATGAATAAGTTAACCCTTAAGTGGAAATTTAAAAGACAAGTGATGAATAAACTAAAGAAGAAATAAATGAAAATGATTAATTATAATAGTTTAACGATGCTTAATAATAAAAATAATAAGATTTATTAACCGATTAATAAGAATAAACAGGAAAAACAGAATAAGAAAATTAATAAACCACAAAAGTTGATTAATTAGTAGAAGAAACTTAAAAGTAAAAATAAGAGAATAAGGAACCATTGATTAATGGAACATCTAATTAATAAGTTGAAAGTTTAAAAAATGAGGAATTTAAATAAGATAACAAATACATTAAAAATGAAATGATTTGTTAACTTGATGAACAAAAGTTTTAAAATCAACCTTAAGTAGAGCCTGAAAATCAATAAGCAATTGCTTGTTAAAAACCTAAGATATCATTGAAGAAATAAAAAATTGAAGATTCTGATGTGACTGAAAAATCAGAGAAGTAAGATAATATTGTTTAAATTTAATAACATGAAGTTGTTTTAAATGCTTAAGGTCCTGTAATAATAGAGAAAACCAATAATTCAGTGATGATAGAAGGTGCTCCATAAATCTAATTAAAGAAATAAAATGATGATGTTATTTTGGAGAGTGTCTAAAAATAAAAAATGGAAAAAAAAGTTGAATAAACAAATATTGAAATTTAACCAAAAATGCATGTTGAATTACACTAATAGATAGAATTATAATAATAACCTTAAATGTAATAATAAGTATTTGAATAAAAAACTGAAACTTAGAGTTAGGTGTAGGTAGAAATTCAAAAGAATCTTAGTAATATCATCACTATTGAAAAGTCTTAAATGTAAACAGAGAAATAAAATGAAAGTGTTTACTTAGAAGTTATGCCAACTGTATAATTGGTTAATCATTAAGAAGTTTCAATAGAGTAGCATCCTGAAATTAATTTGGAATCTTAAAATTTAGATACTTAAGTTGAAAAATGTCCTCAAATTGAAATTCCAAATACATAATAGACAACCACTCTTCTTGAACATCCTATAGTTAACTTGGAAGTCAATCAATTTATTTAATAAGTAAATCCAAGTCCAGATCCATAATCTGTACTTACTTAATAAATTCATTCCATTGAATAACAACCATAATCAGTCATTGAGTAATAGGAATAGTTCTCTTATGCTATTTAAGCACCATAAACAGAAATCTAACTTAATTTTAATTAAGCTACATCAGAACCTTAATAAAAATTGGACGTAGAGGATAATCAATAGTAAACTCAAATAATTTAAGAAGAAGAGAAAGTTCATGTTAAATAGTTGGATGAAACGCATATCATGAATTAACCATCTCATGAAGTTACTAATGTTGAAAAAAAAGGAGTTATTGAATAAAAACCTTAATTATATACTGAATAAAACACAAACCCTGTTCAAGTCAGTCATAATGATAATGTTTAAATTGAAGGATATCATGTAGATTAAGTAAATTAATTATAGAAATAATAAAAGTAAGTTCCTTTATTTGCTGAATCTCCAACTCAATAATTTAGAGATTCAGAACCTCTACAACCTTAAAATGATGCTGAACAATAATTCTTAAATAGAACTTAATCAGATATTTATCCATCTTAATCCAAGATACTTCAATAAGTNATTGAAGAAATAAAAAATTGAAGATTCTGATGTGACTGAAAAATCAGAGAAGTAAGATAATATTGTTTAAATTTAATAACATGAAGTTGTTTTAAATGCTTAAGGTCCTGTAATAATAGAGAAAACCAATAATTCAGTGATGATAGAAGGTGCTCCATAAATCTAATTAAAGAAATAAAATGATGATGTTATTTTGGAGAGTGTCTAAAAATAAAAAATGGAAAAAAAAGTTGAATAAACAAATATTGAAATTTAACCAAAAATGCATGTTGAATTACACTAATAGATAGAATTATAATAATAACCTTAAATGTAATAATAAGTATTTGAATAAAAAACTGAAACTTAGAGTTAGGTGTAGGTAGAAATTCAAAAGAATCTTAGTAATATCATCACTATTGAAAAGTCTTAAATGTAAACAGAGAAATAAAATGAAAGTGTTTACTTAGAAGTTATGCCAACTGTATAATTGGTTAATCATTAAGAAGTTTCAATAGAGTAGCATCCTGAAATTAATTTGGAATCTTAAAATTTAGATACTTAAGTTGAAAAATGTCCTCAAATTGAAATTCCAAATACATAATAGACAACCACTCTTCTTGAACATCCTATAGTTAACTTGGAAGTCAATCAATTTATTTAATAAGTAAATCCAAGTCCAGATCCATAATCTGTACTTACTTAATAAATTCATTCCATTGAATAACAACCATAATCAGTCATTGAGTAATAGGAATAGTTCTCTTATGCTATTTAAGCACCATAAACAGAAATCTAACTTAATTTTAATTAAGCTACATCAGAACCTTAATAAAAATTGGACGTAGAGGATAATCAATAGTAAACTCAAATAATTTAAGAAGAAGAGAAAGTTCATGTTAAATAGTTGGATGAAACGCATATCATGAATTAACCATCTCATGAAGTTACTAATGTTGAAAAAAAAGGAGTTATTGAATAAAAACCTTAATTATATACTGAATAAAACACAAACCCTGTTCAAGTCAGTCATAATGATAATGTTTAAATTGAAGGATATCATGTAGATTAAGTAAATTAATTATAGAAATAATAAAAGTAAGTTCCTTTATTTGCTGAATCTCCAACTCAATAATTTAGAGATTCAGAACCTCTACAACCTTAAAATGATGCTGAACAATAATTCTTAAATAGAACTTAATCAGATATTTATCCATCTTAATCCAAGATACTTCAATAAGTACCTCAAGAAGTTGGTGCATTTGGTTTGTCTATTGCTGCAGCTGCTGGAGCTTCTTAATTTATTATGAAAAATGGAGTTAAATCAAAAGAAGGGATATTTGCAGCTCTAGCTGGTTCAGCAATTTTATATGCTGGATACAGATTATTCAAATCTAAAAGCTAATAAAATTCATAAAAAGATTGAGGTAGATTAATAAAATCTAGGTTTATTAAATAATAATACATATTAAAATTTTATTAAAAATGAATAATTTTAAATTTAATTTCAATGTCTCTTGAGAGAGTGAGAAAAAGTATTCAAAATTTTTTGGGTATCTAAAACAATCCTTAAAATCAAAAATCTACATTAGAACCTAAAAAATATCAAACTGAATAGAAAATAACAAAAACAGATTAATTATTCAAAAATAAATTTGTTTGTATTCAGAAAAAGGAAAATAAATTAAATTCTTATAAATTTGCTTTAGAGAGATTAAAAGAATACAATTTAATCATATTTAAAGCAAATGATTTTTAGAGATGTCCTGTTATTTCATACCTATAAAATAAATAAGAAGTATAATTGAATCATTATATTTTTTTAAGAAGAAGATTAATGAGAATGAAAATAAAGCAACAAAACCAAGATGGTCAGAAACATTTTTTGAACTAATCAAAGTTAAGCCTGAAGATGAAAGGAAAGCCTTTTTTTTACATGCATAATATATCTAAGATTCAGATAAATAGTTAACCTAAACTAAATAAATAGTTAAAGAGTAAGAACTATAATCAAAAATTTCAGATATTAATTTTGAAAACAATCTTGATCAAGAAAAATAGCCTAAATAAATTATTACTTAATCTTAATAATTACAAGAAAAAGATGAAGTCAGTTAAAGTGGGTATGATGATATAATTGTAGGATAAAAATCAGAAATTTAATTTAATAAACTTTAATCTAAAGATTTTAAAACTAAATAAGTTATTTTGATTTAAGATAAAAAGCTGTCACAAAAAAATGAAAATTTAAATAATGATAGTTAAGTAATATAAAAAACAAATCTTTAGGAAAAATAATTAGAAATTTAATCTCAATAACCAATCTTAACAGATCCTAAAACTGAATAGGTAAAACCAGAGGTAATAGAAAATAAAGAAGAATCAAGAAGAAATATAGTTACAAAACTAGATCATCAAATTTAAAATTTAGAACAAAAATATATTCTTGATGAAAATCCTTTTACCTAAAATATTTAGAATCAATTATTAAATCCACCATGGTCAAATAATCCTGTATAAGAAAAATAAATATCATAGAATATATTTCAGCAACCTTTGATTTAATAATCACCTTAAATATCATAATAATAACCAATTAATTTTTTAAATTCCATTCAATAATAATCTTATAATTAATTTCCTTCTTAAAATTCATAAATACCAAATGTTTTTTTTAATTAGAATTTATTCACTTAAGAACCCAATCTTTTTAAAAATAATTAATAATCAAATTAGAATTTTAATTTATTTAACTAATAAAATTTATTTTAGTAATAAACTTCTTAATAACCATAAGAATCCTTATTTTAATAATAATCTATCTCATAATCTTTATTTTAATAATAATAATAACCATCTTCAACTTAATCATTATTTTAATAATAACCCTCATCATAATCATTATTTTAATAATAACCATCAACATAAACATTATTTTCATAATAGCCTACAACAGAATCATTATTTTAGTAATAATCATCAATTAATTTTTTCAAATAATCAGGAACATAATCATAAAGTTAATTATTTTAATAACAAAATCAACAAACAGTAAGTTTATTTAATAATAATGATTAAAGTTCCAATTAAAAAGATTTTTTCTCAGCTTAACCTGTAAACTTATTTTAATCAAATTAAGTCTAAGCTTAAGACTTGTTTTCCTTAAACACTGAGTAGTAATCAAACAATACTATATAATAATAAAGATCATGTTCTTAATCTGATAGATACAAGAAGAATCTATGTAAGTAATAAGTTAATAGAATATGATTAAGTCATTTTTGTTTATAAAATATTAAATTATATTAATTTTACATTATTTTTTCAATTTAAGCTATTTCTATTTTCTTCAAAAAAGCTCTGTTATTTTTACTTATTTTTTAAATAAAAAAATTAAGTTGTTTAATTTTTATATTTTTAATAAATATTATAAAAATGACCCATTTGATTAAAGACACCTTTTATAAGGAAAAACTTTATTAAGTCTCACTTTCTTCTTTTTCTTTTGCTTAAGAATAGGCTGGAAAACAAAAAGAAGTTAAGCAACCAATTTCAGAAGAAGTTTTAAAGAAAGCTTTAACAACATATGGTAAAACTGCTGAAGGATAACATTATGCTTATTTAAGTTTTATGGCAAATAATTTAGACTTAACTAGTTTACATGTATTACTTAAACATAAATTATCATTAGGGTATTGAGAAGTTCAAACATCTTTAACATGTTGATGTTAGTAATAACTCTATAAAATCACTCAAACCATTAAATGGATTAAAATATATAATTACATTAAAAGCTAGTAATAATAGATTGACAAAGTTATTGGACTTAAAGTATTTTTATATATTATTTAAGACATATTCCATTATAAATTATGGATGTAGATTGTAGTAATAATGATATTGAATTAATTCCAGATCTCAGTTGTCATCGTTTTCTTCGTTACTTAAATCTTTCTAATAATAAGATAAGACAGATAGAAGGAGTTTAAAAAAACAAATATTTGTAAGTTTTGAAATTGGCTAACAATCATATTGATCATATTGAAAATTTAGATGGGATGAATTTGACTGAATTAGATTTATTTGGTAATGAAATAACAATATTGGATGGTTTGACTTAATTACCAAAGTTAAGGAAACTAGAATTATCTTAAAATTAAATCAAAAGTTTAAATGGGATTGTTGATCTAATCTCAGTTAGAGAGCTTAGAATAGCAAATAATAAAATATCAAGGATTAAAGAATTATCATATTTAGAAAATTTAGTATTTTTAAGTGTTCTTGATCTTTGTTATAACCCAATTTAAAATAGACGATATTATAGATGGTAAGTTTTATACAAATTACCTGGTTTAAGAAATTTAGATGGAGTCTAAGTTCCACCAGAAGATATTGTTAAGGCAGAAAATCTATATGGAATGGATTTAGAAGATAGAAAGAGAATTTTTAAAGATGTATTACCAGATGAAGAATTTATTGATAGAAGAATTCATATTTCAGAAGTAAATATACTTTAAAAATAAAGTTAATTGAACCAGAAACTGAAGATGAGAATGAGAATCAAGAATTTATTGATTAATACGATAAAACAGGTAAAATGATGTAAAAATAAACTAAATCAATGGGATCATAAAAATCTATCAGTGAAATGGTATTTCTCTTTAATTTATTTTATTTAGTATCATTCTAATAAAAGTCTTTAAGAAAGAGAATATTAATGAAAAAAACAGTTAAATTATTTATTATTACATTTTTTAAGATTTTAACTACAATTAATTAAAAAGGATATAAAAATATTTGTCAAATTCCCTACTTAATTAAATTTAATTCATTTCTTCTAAAATCGTTTCCTTTTAAATTTAAAAGATGACCTTTTTAACAATAAAATAACTTTCCATTAACTATTTCAAAAGTATCATCCTATTTCATTGTAGAGTATAAAAGATCTGATTATGCAATTTACATTCTTTATGGTTGAAAGGACCTTTATTATTCTGTTGATTAGATTATTTTATTCCAATCTTTAAATTTATTGATTATTTTTAATTCTCCTTCAATAAATTCAATCATTTCATAATAAAATTATTTCCTATACATACATAATGAAATTAAATTACATATTATATTTATCTAAAAAACAATAATACATTTGATCCCATATCTCTTTAGGATTTTTTTCTGTCATATCTAATTCAGTCACATATATTTCATGATTTTAATTAATTTCTATATTATAAATTTAGTATTCATTCCTTTGAGTGCTCAAAAATCTAAATGACAAAATTAAAATTACCTTCTTGTTATTTTAAGTTGGTTATCGAACTAAATCTTCAATTCAAATTTACCACTAACAATAGGTTTATTAATAATATCATTAAAATATTAGGGAAACTTAACATTGTGGTATTTCATAGATTTTCTTAATAATTTAATTGAAGGATGTTCTAAACCAATAAATAGAGAACCCATACAGCATCTTGCTTATTTATGAATCATCTCATTTGTTGCATAATTATCAATAGTACCTTATAATAATAACTCTGGATATATATTAGGAAACTTAAACTTTGGATTCACATAATGATATAAATTAAACAACTCTTTCTAAGAAGTTTCTATATTAAATAGATAATTAAATAATTTGTCTAAAGTTCTTTCCATTATGATATTTTTCTAATCATCTTCTGCTACTAAAACATAGATTTTTCTTTAAAGATTATCTTCTATTATTGTAAATAAATAATGTATAGATTCTTCTGTTAATTTGCTTTAAAAAAAAACTAAAGATTAAAAATGTATTTTTTTATTGTTTCCTTAAGCCAATATGTAATTATATTTTTTAAACTCATATGGTAATGTAATAGAATTCAAATTGACATTCAATCCAAATGTACTAAGTATCATCTTTTCTTCTTCATGTTTAAGTTTTTAGTAATCTGGATCTTATGTGACTTTATAAATATCTTGTATTATCATTTAAGCATTTAATATTGATTATGTTAGAAGATTAATACCATTTCCTAAAATTATTGGTAAATTAAAATAAATATTTGAGTCTTTAAAAATTTAATTAGAAGAGAAATCACTTTATATGAAGTAATCACAAGGAAATAATTCAATTGATCTAGTATTTTCACGATTAATTTCATCTTTAAAAGTTTCTTAAAGTATTTTTATAATCTCTCTTTTATGTTAATCAAATTTCTTTACAACTTCTTTATATGGTTTTTATAATTCGATTAATAAAGAATCTTAAAAAAAATCATATATAATCATCAAACTATTATCATAAAAAACTTATCTAATATAATTTTAAGGCCAAAATGTTGATGTAAATTTACAAATAGCTTTGGTAGTATATAACATTTTTAATCCTTAAAACTAGGGTTTTATTCTTTGAATAAATTCTGGTTCAAATGATGGATTATCTTTAATGATACTTTATGTCTAAATTAAGGAATTTATAAATTAATTGGAATCTCCAAAAATTAGAAAATCAAATTCAAATTATTTACTATCACATTTAACTTATATTTTATTCTTAATTTTAATTGATTTTATAGATTTAACATCTCTAACAAATTCTTTCCACTAAAATTCATTATTAAAAAGAAATGCTTAATTTAAATTATTACTAGAAAGATGTTATTTAAGTTATTTAACAGTTGTAAATTCGGTTAATGCATTTTATACTAAAAATAAAGCTAAATCTTCATTAACAATTTTAAATGCTTACTCTTCATCATGATTTTCTATTATATTGGCTAATTTTTAAAACATAGATTAATCTTGATTAGCTTTGTAATCTCTAAATTCGATTTATTCTTTTTAAAATACTTTTAAACATAATTTGTTTTGTAAATAAGTTGGAGAATAATAATATTTTGGTTCTGCTTCACTTCGAAAAAGTGAAACATTAAATTTCAATTATCTACAATATTAATATAATAAATAATTCCTCCATGTTTAACCTATAATTGCAATTTTTTTATGTCTTAAATTTTCTTTAAAATAAATCATCTTAGAAATTTGTAATGACATATATTCAAATTCAAAATGAAAATTAGTAAAGTAATATAAAATTAAAGAATTTATTGCTTCCTAATATTTGTGCTTTAAACTAGCACTCAAAGAATTCAAAATTATTGTTAGTTCTAATTTGGAACTAGTATTTACAATAATCGATCTTAAACATAAATATTCATCTGCAAATAGATTTAATTTTTTCATTTGTTAAATTTCTTAATCATTTAATTACAATGGATGCAATTTCTCTATAAGAGATTTTTAGAATATTGGATACAATGTAATTTCAGTCTATAATTTATCATCTAATGGTATTGGAACAGAATAATTCTATTGTCTAATTTAAGAAATTTTTAATTTATATGGTATTGATTTCATTAGATATCTCCAGAGATCTTTTTCTTCAATTTCTTTAAGATTACTAAAACTGAAAATTTAAGACCTTACCCTCTTGATTAAACTTGAAAATTCAAAGAAAATAAATCTATATTTGTTTGATGCTGATTTAATTCATAAAATCTCATTCTAAGTTAAAGCATTTTCATTGGGTCTAAAAAATATATCATTTATCAATTTATTTAATTGTGATTATGGCGAATATTATGGAGAATTAGGCTCATTAGTTTATCACAATTTTAGAATGATTTTTATTACTGTTTGTATTTTATTTAATATTAATAATCATTTGATCTATAATTTTTATAAAATTCTTGGAAATGAGGATCTTCTTCTCATCTTCTATTCCAATTTTCTTATTTCCCACCATGTCAATATAATTGCAGAAGTAAGTATAATAAAGGAGAATAAATTCAAGATGATTACTATTGTTATTAATCTATTTTACAGAATATTTTAAAATAAAAATAAGTCTTGGTTATTCCAAATTGCAGTAAAATAGTTATCCAAGGTTCAATATATTCTTAAACATAGCCATTGCATGGAATTTATGAGTTATCTAAGACAAATGTACTATGAATGTGGAATTTGAATACATATTTTTATTGGCTGATAAAATATTTGTATAATTGTTAATTCCTGTTAGTATTTGAGTATTTTTGTAATCTGAATCAAAGCATGTTAATTGATGTTTAGATAACTGAGCTTCAGATTGGTAAAGTTCATATTATTTTTGATCGTAAAAAGTTAAATGATCGAATCTAGCAGCAGAAACAGGATATTAATCAATAATTTCGGAATAGTATATTTTAATATCTTTTGAATCAAGATCAATATGAGTATTGACGAAATTATCATGTATTCCAAGATTTGTGTTGATTATGATGAGGAATTGTTCCTCTGCTTTAATAATATTGACTAAGAAAAATAAAATAATAAATAACATTAATGATAAATTTATCTGAAAGAGACAGAGAGCTTATAGAACAAATATGTTCAAAAAGTAATAAATAAAGCAAAAATGCTAAGCAAGTACATAGTGAATAACAATTAATAAGTTAATCAAGTAAGAAACTATTAGCAACTCGTTTGGAGTAAAAATTAAATGAAGTATTTGAAAAATTTATAGATTAGATTATGTAAGAAGTAGATGAGAAAAATGAAGGTTATATAAATTTTTTATAAATGGGAAGAATATTTACATTGTTAGATATATTTTAGGCAATATCATATGATTAAAATAATGAAATGGAAGTTTAGGGATTCAACAGTTAGTCATAAAGGTTAGTAATTAAATTATTAATTTTAGGTAATTTGAAATAGATTTACATGAAAATGCATTTTCAATAATATCTTAAGGAGAAGAACGTGCTGATATTCAGGCAGCATTCTGTTTTTTTAGAATTATTTAAGACCCAAATAATTTGGAGCCTTAAAAATAAGCATTTTTAATGAAGGATTATTTAGAGAAAATATTGGAAAAAGAAATGGATTAAGAACAAATTTAAAGTTTCTGTTAGGAATATTAAAATTATTAAAAAACAAGACTTTCAGGAGCAAAAACAGGATTTTTAAAAGCAAATTTAGCATAAAATTTAATAGACACATATGAAAAAACACATACATTCAAACCAAGTATAAATCCAATAAGTGAAGCATTGTTAAGGGAATCCTTTAAAAGAGAAGATGTAGAATGTTCGAGATTAACAGATAGCAAAGTAAGTTAACTTTATTAAAAGAAATAAAAATCAAATTAAAAATTAAATTAATTGAAATAAGAATATGAAGCCAAGGAAATGAAAGAATGCACTTTTAAGCCACAAATAATATCAAAGAAAGAATAGCCTAATGTTGTAGATAGATTGTATAAAGTGAAAAAGAGATAAGAAGTTGAAGAGAAGATTAAATAGAATGAGATTGAGAAATAAGAATAGGAATTTAGTTAATGTTCATTTTAACCTTAAATAAATAATTGTATGCCTGAAATGGAATAAGTGGGTGTAAATGGATATGGATAGGCAGTGGAAAGATTGAGAAGAGCTAATGATTAACGTAATTTAAAGGAAATTCAATTAAATCATAAACCAAGTGGAGAAAAATATGAAAAAGTTAAAAGAATGGCTTTTATTCCTCCAGATATGTTGTAAAGAAGTAAACCTTAGAAAGAAATTCCTATTCTATATATTGACATCAAAATTGGACCTAGTAAGGTTGGAAGATTAGCATTGAGAAAGAATGATGATGTTGAATTAGTGGTTAAATCTTTTTGTAAAGTTTGGGGAGTGGCATTATAAGATTATGATTTACTGGTGGAATAAGTTAAAGATAATTTGAAAAAGTATTAATAATTTAATATGTAGTGTAATGACAGAAGCAGAGGATTAGTGATTTTAAAGACTATTTATAATACTTATATATATATGATTGTTATGAAATATATAAAAATCAATTATTCTTACTTCTAAATAAATTGGAATATGAAGATTGTTATGAAACTCGTTATGAATTTTAAATAGATTGTTATACCTTAGTTTATTTGGTGCAGCTAAGTTTTGGATAGAAAGTACATTCGTTAGATTCATTTTGCATCTGTCTATCTAATTATTCTTAGATCTTAAAATTTCTCTTTTGAAGCCAATTGTTCATTCTAATGATGAGGGTTGAGTACTTTACCTCTCTACCATCAAATCAATTTCTTTTTTATTCATAGGTTTCTTAGAGGGGATTGGTTCAGGTTCTTCGTTAATTTATTTGATTTGTTATCTAAAATCTACAAACATATGTTATGGTATAGTAACTTTAGGCTATTCAAAATATTATGTTTCATACTTCAGGTTCAGTGTTTTACTATTATTCTGATTAATCAAAATAGAATCTATTTGGTAAACAAACTTTTTAAGTTTACTCTTCTTATTCTTAAACTTGTTGTTGTTCGCTTTCTTATTATTCAGGAGTTCCACTCATTTATTTTTTATATTCTGAATATAGTGTGTTTGACATGTTTTTAGTAAAGTAAGGATGAGAATCTGAGGTGTTACGCTTAGTGGTCTCTAATTAATAAATTAAATGCAATATAACATTTACATTAAATTGTCTCATTGCTCTTTCTTACTATATATAATCTCTCAAAAACACTTGGTTGATTAGTATCAACTTCATGTGTTAATCGATTGGCATTTTACTATAATTCTTATGTCTATTTATTTAGAAATACATATTTACAGCATCATCATAGCACTGTTACAATCTTTATGATTTTCTTTCATTCCATCTTAAAAGATCATCAACTGTTCTTTAGATGTTGGCAGATTTCTTATTTATCTAAAATTTATTACTTGTTATTCTTACCAAAGGCTTAAAGCTATACTCTTCTTATTTTGCACTGGAGATGTTTGGTTTATGACTGTTTCTCTAATTTTGAGTAGCGAAGAAAGTGATTCTTTACAATTCTTCAGGACTGACAAATAGTTCTGTTGATTAACTTTTTAACATTTATTATTATCATTTTTATTTTATATTCAAAAATATTTAATATTGGATTTCATTTATAATTAAATTTATTTTTTTTTATGATTTTTTTTTAAGAAGTATTAAATTTTTGATTTCAATATATTTTTTATTAACATTCTCTTTCTTTTACTTAAAATGTGTGTCTTTAGAGAATAAAATTTCTGGATTTAATATAAATTTTAAAATTTTATAATTTATGATTTTATTCATTAAATAAATTTATCAATTCAGAATGCATTTTTCTAATTTAAATGTTTGAATAGAGAATAAAATTTCTGAATTTAATATAAATTTTTACATGTTAAAATTTATGATTTTATAATGCTAATAAATTTATCATACACAAATGCATATACCTTCAAAACCTTATGATTGAATGCTTTTAATAAAATAATAAAGAGAATTAAGATTTTTTATACAATTGTGATTGGTTGATAATATTAATAATAAATAAAAAGTATTAAATTGAAGTAAAGCGTTGCAGTTTTCAGAAATACAGCCATATAAACAAGAAGATATTAAGTTTGATTCTAAAACGCATCCTTAAATTAATACAGTATCAAAAACTATATTAATACGTAAATTAAATATTATATGAAACCATAAACCAAATGGGTCATTCTCTTTCTAACAAGCTTGTCTTAGTTCTCATTTCGAGTTTTTGTGGATTATCCATCGTTATTAGCAACTGAAATAAAGAGTCATTTCATAGTGAATCAATTCTAAATCAACTTACTGTTTTCATTTAGATCATTTCCAAATATTGTAATGCCTTTTGTTGGAGGAATGTTATTAGATAAGTATGGAACAAGAAGAGGCATATTTGTATTTATGCTATTCATAATTTTTGGGACATGTTAAAAAAATGTTAATATTAGTTCTTTGCTATTTGTCAATTATTTTGAATTGCTTCACACTGATGTTGATTGGAAGATTTTTTATGGGGTTGTTTTTAGAAAGTTGTTATGTAGGAGTATATAAAATTTTATCGAAATGGTTTAAGGAAGCATCTTTTGCATATAGGTAACAGTAACTTTATTGTAAGCGTTGATACAGCATTTATTTGTGGTGGAACAATTGCATCAACAATTCTACTACCTTATTTAGTCAATAACTACAGTCTAGATACAGCTATTCTATCATGTTTATTACTATGCACAGTATCATTTATTGGACTCAACACAGTTACTACAATAGATAAATTTTATGAAGTTGAAACTAAATAGGATACTATTCCTTAGTTTTCATTTGCATTACTAACTCAATTCAACATTGACTTTTATGTAATTGCTATGAGTTCGATATTCTGCTATACAAGTTATTACATTTACTCTTATAATAATGCAGAAATGTTTAAATCAATGTATGTATATTTAATTTTCATTCATTATTATTAGGTATCATTTATCTTCCTATTCTGCAGCTACTCTATATGGACTTCCATGTTATATGGCAATTTTTATAGCTCCATATTTAGGTCATCTAGTAGATAAACATGGATACAGAATGCAAGGTTTACAAATAACAAGTCTCATTCAGTTGAGTGTATTTTCACTATTATATCTAATGCCTAGTTGTGAAAGTACTTGCTTAACTATCCCAGCAATAAGTTAATTATTGAATGGAATATTCTTTGCTGCTTATGTTGTAACCTTATGGCCTTGCATTTAAATGGTGGTCTCTCCTTAATTATTAGGGACAGCATTTGGTGTTGTCTATTCTAGTATAAGTCTTGGAATTTCTTTGGCATCCATTTTTATTGGTAAAGTTGTCCAAGATGAAACCTAATCTTCCTATTCCAATATGTTAGGAATTCTATTCCTTATAACCTTCTTAGGTGCCTCGATGAATTACCTATTGTACTACAGAGACAGCAAATATTTCAACAATAAAAAATATGTGATCTCACAAAACAGTACAGAATTGGAACTAAAAATGCTTGATTGAATGTATATTTAAATATACATATATATTATACTAAATAAATCAACGATTTGTTTTTGCTACTTTTTCAAGTTCATCTCTTTTTTTAATTGTATATGATTTTTATCCATCTTCATTAGCTGCTGCAATAAGTTCATCAGCAAGTGCTTCTGAAATAGTCTTCATCTTTTTAAACACAGACTCTCTAACTCCTTTTGCTAAATTATGAACAGCCTTAAATATTATATCTAAGTACTTCATTAACTCTTCTAATAGGTGCTACATCAACAGCTTATTATTTAGCAACACCTCCTGTACCAACTTTAGTAAAATCTTCTCTTGCTCCACCTCTCTAAACTGCCAAACTTAAAACTTAAAGAGGATTCTTCCCTGTAAGTAAATGAACTATTTCAAATGCATGTCTAATTATTGCTACAGCTTTCACTTTTTTACCAGTATTACGACCATGAAACATTAATGCACCTGCCAATCTTTCAACTATTGGACATTAAGCTTTTCTAAACTTCTTACGTTAATATCTATATATTCACACTATTTAAAACCTTCCAGCTGTATGAGGAACAAATACTCTCGATTTTGATGTTTAAACTGCTATATAATCTTTGAAACATTAGTCTGTTACTTAGACTTCATCATAATCCCATTTTCCAAAAAGTTTTGGTTAATTGGCAAATTTCACAGTGACAATTTATTCCTCTGCCATATTTAAATAAGGATTTATTTTTTATTTTAAATAAAAATATTTGATCATAAAAGAACTTCATTGAAAATACCTATCAAAGAAAGTAACTAAATTGAATCATTGCAACAAATTGAAAGACGATACTCTAGTTCTGCCATTCTCTCTATTATATCACATTTCTATTTATCATTAAACACATTCAATCCCTATAATTATACACTCAATTCAGTAAGCAATAATTATAATGATATTCCTTATTCATTCAAAATTGTTTTTATTTTAGAGTAAGTCTTTGAAATTTCACTTTAGTTCATTAAATATTCTAAAATCTATTTAATCAGATCAGGATGTGCCATACCTGTGAATTAATATACATATGAAGAATTTATCATCTCTGTATTCGAATTTTAAATCGACAAAGACAAAGATTATAACATATTGACTACTCTTCTCATATCACCACAACATAATTCAAAAACTGATCTTATAGCATTATCATCCAAATTAATATTCTCTTAATCACAAATTTATTTGATTCTTAAACTAGCTACATTCAAACCAATTTATTTAAATTTAAATCTTGTACACCTACTCTAGATTGCTGGTATGATCTAAGAAATATGATTGCAAATAAAACAAAATCTAGTAGTCTTTGCATATTTTTCAATAACTTAAATTTATTTATATATATTTAAATTTACTTCGACGTAATGCAAATTATGCTGCTGCTGTCATTGCATCAGCTTCATCTAATATTACTAATTTTATAGATGTGTTTTTATCTTTTGTGAATGTAAATGATTGTGACTCTGCAAATCCTTTTATAGTTTCTCTCACTGTATTAATGCCTCTTTCATCTGATGCATTAAGCTATTAAAATTAACTATTTTCTTAATACTTCTAAAACCATCTAATTATATTTATTTTAATAGATCTATTTTGCTAAGGCAATTATTGTTGAAGTCTTTCCTGTTCCTGGAGGTCCATAAAGTAATAAATTTGGTAATCGATTTTTTTCATTAAACTTTTTTACTAAAATTAAGATAACTCTTACTTGTTGATACTATTTCTTCATGAGATATTACTTCATCCAAAGTAGATGGTCTATATTTCTCAATCCAAGGTATGTTCTATTTCTTTTTATTACCAGATATTTCCTCTATTATCATATGGCGCGATTTTTAAAAAATTTAATTAATTTATATATTTATATACAAACTAAAACTTATAAATAGATTAAAAATTTCATCTCTTCTTTTTATTTATTTATTTCTTAATTCCCATTTCACTTGGATGAGCTCTCTTCCAAGCTTCAGATTTCTTATCAACTGTAAAATCATTATCTTTTAACATTTTCTAAAATCTTGGATCAATCTACTTTATAGGTTATTCAATTTCAGGTTCATCAGGTATCACATAACCTTTACTAACTCTTTCAGCCTCTAATTATTTCTCATAATTTTATTAAATTCTTTTTTATTTATAGTCATCAAAATCAAGACCTTTTTATTATCTTAATTTCAAATATAATTTCAAATGAATTAAATATCCATGAGAATAAGGTTTTAACATTGCAGTTTCCAATAAATGTAAAGCTTCTAATCTTTCCAATTCTTCATATGATAAAAATTTATATTCATCATAAACTGTCTACTATTCTTCTTCTTCCATTTCTTCAGTTAAATTATCTAAGAATGGACACCATTTAGGAGCTGAATTTAATTATGGAATAAAATAAATTCCCATTCTTGGTTATTCTAATGCTAATAAAAACATTCCAGAGTTCTTAATCCATGTAAATGAATTTATCTCATTTTATGGTTCAATATTAGTGAATAAACGATTAGCCTTCCAAAATTTTAATATTTTTGCATCACAAGAAACAATCATATCATCATTCATAACAATCTTTTTAATAGGTAACCGATATTAATGTTAATAGATATGAATTGGTATATGTTTTCTCAAATCAAATAATTTAATCTATCCTTCCTTTGTTCCTAAAGCAACCTAAAGATTTTAAGTAGCTAAACTAGTAATATCACTAACTCCTAACTATTGAACAACCTAATCAGATCTAAAATCAATAACACTAAGTTATTTATTGCCACCCACTAATCCCAATTACAACTAATCATGCATACATAAACAATTAACTCCTGTCTCTTATTAAATATTGTATGATTCTACAAATGATCCAAGTTCTAAATTTAATCTGGTGATATCTTCATTCTAAGAAGACACCAATAAATTACAATTATAAGGATTATATATCTAATATCATATTAATACATAATAATACCATATCAGTTGGTTATTTAGGAACTCTAAGTTTAAAATGTTTACCATATTGAGCATGTAATTCCACATTTCGATCTTCACAGACCATAGCAATTTTTTTGTAATCATCTCCTAATAAACAAAATTTAACTATTTCTGAATCAAGACCTCTACTACATTTCATTGATAATTATGATGTTTCAAAAATCTTTATTGAAGGGGCATAAAGTCCTGATGCTATAATATACTATTAATCATTGCTTTCTTCAATCTAAGTTGAAGCTGTATTAAATTCAAACCCTTAAATAACTTCAATACGCTTTCTAAATTGCTCATTCTTTTTCAAAGACTTCTAAGTTTTGTATGCTGTTTCCATAAATTCTGGTAATGTTGGACATGCTGCTAGATTATAAGCTTTAATTTATTGAGAAATAGTTATCGAAAGAGTCATTAATTGTGGTAAAAATTAATAATAATTTTATTATATTATCCTAAACTAAAATGTACAAAAATTACATTTACATAAATTCTGTTGAACATAAAATTATTAAACTATATATAAAATCAATATAATTTCTCTATTGCTTATTTCGGTTCCCCATAATTATAATATTCTCTTAATCTAAAAACTGATTGCAAAACTAATCTACTATCTGGTGCAGGTAATACTTGATCTACAAGGAAATCATATAACATTTTTAATTCTCTATCCTCTTTATTATCATAATATGGAATAATGGGAATTCCATTTTCTAAATGAACTCCAAAACTATAAGCTGCATTGTCAACTAATACAATATCTTTTAGATCCCTATTCAAAACTCTCAAATCTTTAATATGCACTCCATCCTAAGATAATACACATCTATCCCTAAATAATTATCCAGAAAGAAATTGTTAATTGGGATCCAAATATTTAATCACTTAACTAGCATAACATTAATGAGAAGCAGTAAAAACTATAACTTCACAAAGTTGACTCAATTCTTATAAAATCCATTTTGCATAAGGACGAATATTAATACCAGCTTATGCTGTATCACCCGAGGGAAATGTAATAGGTAAATAAACATCTGCTCTTAGATTTTGATTCTCATTACAATGAATCAAAGTTTCATCCAAATCAAATACTACAGTTTTCTTAACTAAGTTAATGTATAAGATTATATTATACATTTATAATTTGATTTCATTGGAATTTCTATTCGTTTTTATTCTAAAATCATCTTAGTAGGTTCTTGTAATTTTACACAAAATGAAACACAATTGAATGTTTAGATTGCATGATCTCTAAATAATTATTGTTCTTGATTTTATGGCAGAATATGTCTAAAAGATTCAACTAAAGAGGATACATAATATAGGGAATCTAATCTAATACAATAAATACTTTTAGATTATACAACATTAACTCTTGTTGATGGGGATAACGATTTTGTTTATTTAAAAGGTGAAATTATTGATTGAGGTCTATTTATTTATGTTACAAAATCATCTAAGCTAACATGTAAATTTTCTTTCTTTTGCTATGGTTAATGTGGTTCAAACTTCTTCTTTAATTATTGAGCTATTTGTTATGCAAATTAAACAGATGAAAATCGTTAATCTGATTTATTTGCTGAGTCAGTTGAAAGTAAATTGTATTTTTTTTTTACTGTATTTGGAGCTGTTGATTATACGTTGTTTTATTAGCTATTTGATGATTTTTCTAATTAAGAGAAATTTCGATGTAAACTGTTCTTAGTCTTAGGAAGTAATTAAGAATGATTTTGCGGTTTATTAATTGGATCTTTAACTAGATTCTTTTAATAAAGAAAATATTTCATCTATTCTTTAACAAATCAATATACTTCTTATGCAGTTCTACAACTTTTTGGTGTATTATTTCTAGGAGAAATATTCAATTAACTTGCTAATACAGGTTTTTATTATGATGGCAATTTCTTATTGATCAATTATTGAGTGCTTGTACTCTAACACATTTTTGCTAGAGTTAGAAATTATTCTCTAATTATTCAATTTCATTCATACTTAGTGAGTTTGGCTTTCGCTTACTCATGTCGAGCTGTAACAGATTTTATATTTGTTTTTTACATTTAATTTATTTATAACTATCAACCCTCTTTCACATATTTCTCAAAATCCAAATATCCTTATTTGTAACTCGGTGATTACTTCAATTAAGCTATAAATTGCTTAGTCTTTAATATTTAATTTAACTTACATTATTTCTATATTTTTTATCATAAATGTAGAGCCAATTCTCTAATTTATCTACTTCAATCCTATTCGAACCTGATAACAACCTAAAAGCCTCCAAAACTTCCCTCTACTCTTATTGTTAATCATTCATAAACACTTTGTATAATTTTTCATATTAAATGTCCTGTTCTCCTTCTGGATTAGCTAATTCATTCAATGCCTCAATCTCTTCATTAGTTGCATCAATATTTAAAAAGTATAACAATTCCTTTATTTACATATCTGAAGTCATTGGCTTCTTCTTTCTCATTTTTTCAACCCATGCAAAAGCCCCTTACAATTAGGAAAATATTTATTCTGTTTACTTATTTAACATTAAAATTATATTATATTTATATTTCGACCTTCCTATCATTTCCTTCATCTCCAAATCCATCCTGAATATCTATTTCATCATTAAATTCCTTCTATGCTTCTTTCTCCTTTTATATAGCATCCTCTTGTCTAAATTCTATTTACCATTTTACTTAATAATATTCCACTATTCATTTTTCCTTTGTCTCTTAAACGAAATTAATTTTCCCTTTTCTTCTGAATGTTCTATATTATGAATCCAAATTCCTACCCAATTCTATTCAACATCTATTGGTTCTTAAAAAAAAGGGATTCTCTTCTTTAAGGGTTATTCTTTGGGTTACATATTAGTAATGGAAAAAATAATGATCTTTTTATTAATCCAAAGATGAAATATTGGTTTTCTACTTTAGTTAATAAAAAGAACTTATTCTTTAAAATCAATTTTATCTTGATCTTGGCGTTGTCTAGAAAGATTTTAAATATATTTTATAGTAATTTTAATTGACCATCTTCAAAAATTATCTCTTCATCTCTGCAGAATAAATTTTTGTGAAAACACAAAATATAATTTTTTTTTATTTAAATAATAAGAGATAGAAGTATAAGGTAAGTCTAAAAAAATTCAGATTCTTTTTAAGATATTCTGATGTTTGAAATAAAAAAAATTCTTTCTTTCACATAGATTATACTCTATGGATATAGATCCTAAAATTCATATATTACACATTCATCAAAGTCCAATCATTTTATTAATTTAATCCAATAGTCAATTAATTCAATTAATACAGTATTGTTTGGTAGACTACATTATTGGTGTTTTAATATTAATTATAGGCAATTTAGTTAGTAAATTGAATTTTAAGTAGCTTTACTATTGATGCTTATAGGATAGGGAAAAGTGCTTATTGATTACAATAATTTATTAATATTAGATGAAAAACATTAATCATTTAAAATAAAATTTACCAAAATCTAGTGAAATTTATCAAACTCTAGCTAAACGATAATATCAAAAACATTGAAAGGTTTTTTAGTCATAAAAAAATTTGAGAATCAAAAGAATTTTTTAAGATTTCTAACTACCGTTACCCCAACTTCTAAAACTAAAAACGATAGCTAGAAAACTGAAAATTTTTGCTAACAGTTTAAAAAAATTAAATAAAAATAACTAAGAATATAAAAAATAATTTTTACTTACATCAGACAATCATTATAAAAAATGGATAAAAAACTGCACTAATTTACATTCTGCAATGCATATTAATCAGACTATTTATCCTTTAAATATTTTCTGCAATTAAGATTATCATAGGATTGAAATAATTAATACATTGTAAAATAATTTTTTTGTAGTAACTTGGTTCTTAAAAGATCAATATCTAAATTTTTATAAACTTATTATATCTTTTCCAATTTTACTAACCATTAAGAAAGGTTCGTATGAATGAAACTAATATTAACACTTAATAAATTGTATTATTTTAATATAAAACTTTAGATATATGTATTAAAATAATATAAAATCAACCTTCTTCTCCATCTTCATTATCATCTCCTGGATTTTCTTCAATATCTTCTTGAATTTCTTCATCATTTTCATTTTATTATTTATTATTTTTTTGAAGATTTTTTGAGTGTTTTTATTTTTCTTGAATTTCCTTCAAAGCCTATTCAAAATGTTCATTAAGTTTAGTTTCACACATTCCATAATTATAAACAACTTCTTACATAAAATTATCTTTAGATTTATCAATGAAAGTTCCTTTACCATGTCTAACATCTTCAGCATATAATCCCTAATATTAAATTGTGGAATTAGGATATTTATAAATTCCAGCCTTGACTAATAATAATCAATATATTAAAAATTACCTTTCTATCCATTTTTAAAATTACCAAAAAAGAATCCTCCATCTTCATATTCTATATATCCTTTGAAAAATTAATCATTCTAAAATTACCCTTCAAATTTTCTGCCATTGAAAATCAAAGTACCTTTTTTCTTATTGAAACCTTCTAAAAACCCTTCAAAAATATCTGAATTAGGATAAATCATCTTGCCTTCATAAGGCTAATTATTTTTAAATTCTCCTTCAAATATTGTCTTATCTAATTGGTATGAAACTCCTTTTTTTAATTGACCATTTTCATATTTACCTTTAAAATAATATATTGATTCTTTTTTTTGTAAGCCTATTGGATTGATTGGAGATACAATTTCATCATTCAAATATAAAAATTCATTATTTACATATCTTAAAGGTAAAAGACATTACAAATTTTCCATTTGACACTCAAACTTTGTATTAAAAACACTATTTTTATTATAAGCATTCTAAGGTTCTCCATCTTTAAAACTTCCACAAATTTAGATTATCCTTATATTTTTTTATTTATTTTATTCATCTTGTTCATCTAATTATATTATTCCACAACCATTCAATTAATCATCTTTAAATGTTCCATTACTATAGTTATATTTATCTTTTTCTTTTTCATCATATGGATTTTTTACACCTAATATATTTTCAGGTTGACAAATCAATTATTAAAAAATTGATCTACTTTATATATTTGAAACATTTAGTAATTTTTTTAGGATTTCTAACAATTCTTTAGAATATTTATGTTAAAGATATCTTTCAGATTTTTTATATTTGAATTTCTTTCCAGGTTCTGGATTTTTAGATTATTCAAATGTAAAAGTTTATTATTATTCTTTATAATCTTATTCTCTTGTATAAGTTAGAGTATCAAAAAATTAACAAATATCAACAATAAAATGTTTTTATCTAATTTTATTTTCTTACTTGTCCTCTTATAAAAGATATAATAAATTATCTAATAACTATTCTTTGAATTATCCATCTTCAAAAAAGAAATCTTTTGGATCTATTTAAGTCATAAGACACAGAGTAAGTAATCCAGCTTTAAAAGCATAGTTATAAAGAATATTAGTATTAGAAGGCTTTTTCTCTTTCATTATTATTGGATCTGTAGAGGGTGTATAAATTCTATGAAATTTAGTTCCAATATATGTTATTCCAAAATTAGATACAATATAAGAATTATTACCACTTATAAATATATTTTATGGACTAATATCTAAGAATTCATTTGAATATCGAGCACCCAAAATAAAATTATGACATAAAAATTCCAAGAATTGTATAGCTCTGTCCTCCATATATCCTTCTTTTTATTCTCTTAAACTTTAAGCATTCTTATTAACCTATCCAAATTCATATACAACATGTAGATTATATTACATTTAATGTATTTTCTCTTTTGCTATTAAAATTATTCTTGTTGAATAAGGATTCAAATATGTAGTCATTGCTTTCTATAATTGACAAACTTTTATATCAAATATTTCTTGATTAAGATTCTCATATATTTACAATGCATGAGAACCCCAATCTTCCTCAAAATCTTAAGTTACATTATTATTTTTATTCAATTTGTATATACTAGAACTTATACCATAAATTGGATCCTTGCCTTTCCCTAAAATTATGTCTTTCTCAAATAACCGATATATTAGACTTGCCTCTACAACAAATGATTATTAATTCATTAATATTTTATATTAATTATCAAGTCTTATTAACTAACTCAGGATGTTTTAACTTAATATGTTAATTTAAAGAACCTTCACTACTAATTTACTATTTTATATACATCATACCCATATTTCTTATTACATTTTGTTAAAGGACATTCAAAATTTCTTTATACTTCACTTGCCAAACTTCTTAATCTCTTCTTTCTTTCTTCAAGTGAATGGTTATCATCTCTCTATTCAATATCTCACTTATAATTACTTCCAAAATTTCTAATTTTTATTAAATCTCAGTCTTTTCTTTCAATAATTCTTTCACCTAGTTTTCTCAAACTCATCATACCTTTTTCCGTAAATTAACATTATGAAGATATTGCTACAAGTATTAAAAATGATAATCGCCCATTAAATAACTATTAATATATATTATAATAATTGAAATTATTTCAAACAATCATTAAATGTTCTCTATTTAAATCATACCATATTATGATAATATAATTTAGGAATCAACTTTAAAAAAGTTCTTAGAATATTCTAATAGAATCAAATTTACATTTTTTAATTTAATAAACAATAATGCAATTAATAGGATATCTAAAAAACGAAAAAACACTTTTTTTTGATAATAAATTAATATACAATTACAAAGAGCATAAATAAATAATCATAAATTTTAATATCTGCTTTCAATAAATAAATTATATTAGTTATAGAGATTCATAATTAAACAAAGATTGAGGGTTAGTTAATTAATAGATATATAAATTATGAATTAAATAAAATAGATTAAATAATTAAAAAATCAAATAGTTATATTCAAATTGATTTTGTTCATTAATTTTACTGGGTCTAAACAGATAAATAACATAATATGGTAAAATCATTCTGCTAAAATTTTTCACTTAGAATACCTAAATTAATTAATTTAGACAATTAAATAGTAATTAATAACTATTTTATAATGTCTTAAAAGATTGAGGATAAAAATATATTTGTATTTTTGAATAAAGAAAAGCTAAAAATCTAGACTAAAAAATTAATTATTGTGTAATTAGAAAGTTGATCATAAAAAATTGGGATAATTAATGAAAAATGTAGGTTGAATTGATTGTACAAATATAAAGATAGATAAGAAAAAATATATTTTTAAAATGGGAAAAGAAAGGATTTAAATAAAAATATATGAATTTATTTAAAAAATAAGTTATATAAATAAAAATAAAGAAGAGATGGCATCAAAATATTTATAAAAATACCCAGTTCCTGAGGGATTTCATTAATTATTACATGATTTTACAAGAGAAGTAGAATAGATGATTAAATATAGGTTTTGAGAGATTAACCAGAAGATATTATAAAATATGGTGTAGAATATTTCGAAAGTATGAGAGATGGGAAAGAATTCAAATATGAGAGCAAATTTAATATTGCAAAAGGTTAAGCACCAGGAAGATAACATTTACCTCCAAGAGCAACAAATTCAATAGAGTAAGCTAAGAAAGTGGTTGATATATCAAATAAAAGAGATGATAAGGAAAGGAAATCTTCAGGTCCTTAAAAGTAAGGTTCTGGTGCATCTTATGGAATGAGATAATAATCAGCAGGTTCATAAGCTAGTCATCCAGATGAAAAGAAAGCAGCTTAAGAATACGTTAATGAACTTTATTAAAAAGTGGAATAAGATATTGAAGATATTGAGACAGGAAAGATTGAAGCAAATACTGCATTTTTCTAACCTTAATTTGTATAATAGAAATATTATTATTTTAGGATGAAAAAGACATGGAAAAAATAATAAAAATATAAGCAAGTGCTAAAGGAATGTTAGTTAGAAATTAATTAAAATAATAACATTAAGTAGAACCAATGATTGTTTATAAAGAAGATGAAGAAGGAAATGCAGAATAATATGCTTAAGATGGTGATTATGAAGAAAATTAATGATTTATTATTAATGGTTTAATAATTTAAAAATTTATATAATATTTTAAAGTAATAATTAAAATAATTATAATTATTTATATGAAAGAATTATTCAATGTATTTTTATGTCTAACAATTGTTAAACATTAATTATTTAATAAATGTAAATAATTGATATTACTATGGGTGAAGGATCTGTTGGAATAATAAAATAAGTTAAAATAGGAGATGAGATATTTGCATTAAAATAATTTAAGAAAAAATCTGGAGAAAAGGAGTATAATATTCATTCAAAATTAAACCATGAAAATATTTTGAAATTCATAGTTGGAAATGAAGAATATATTATATCAGAATTAATGCTACCTTATGATTTGTTTGAGTTTGTAAAAAGTGCTGGATAGATGTCAGTAAATGCTTCAAATTGTATTTTAAAATAATTAGTGAATGCATTGAAATATATGCATTAATTAGGAATAGTTCATAGAGATATTAAATTAGAAAATGTATTGGTTGATGGATCAAATTACAAAATTAAATTATCTGATTTTGATGCATCTTTAAATATAGATGATGGTAAGGTTCCAAAATTAATAGGAACAAGTGGATATTTGGCACCTGAAATAAACTCTATTGGATTGATTGATGCATTAAATTTATTAGAATGTGATATACATTCTTTGGGTGTATTGTATTATATTTTACTTTTTGGAACATTTCCCTTTAAGACTACTAAAGCTTCATGTGTTTTATACAAAATGATATAATAAAATAAATGGGAAGAATTTTGGTATTATTCATAGAGAAATAAGACTAAAAAAGTACCTTCTGATTGTTTAGAATTAATAAAAGGAATGATCGAATAAAATCCTTAATAAAGATTTACTTTGGATTAAATTCTTGATAGAATTGGAGAAATTAATGAAATAGATTATGTAAATGAAATGTAAATGATTCATACAAAATTAAGGTCAAAGTTGTGAGAGAGAGACAAAAACAAATTTGTAAATATTAGTCCTGCCTTAAGCATTGTGTAAAATGAATTGATTTTTGATTTCTATTATATTTTCTGATAAAATACATAATTTTTAATAGGGTTATAAAAGAATTTATGAGAATATACCTGATGAATTGAATTTAAAAAATTAAAAAAAATTAAAACATATACAGAAAATTTAAGTGATGAAAATCTCATAAGNATTTATTATTAATGGTTTAATAATTTAAAAATTTATATAATATTTTAAAGTAATAATTAAAATAATTATAATTATTTATATGAAAGAATTATTCAATGTATTTTTATGTCTAACAATTGTTAAACATTAATTATTTAATAAATGTAAATAATTGATATTACTATGGGTGAAGGATCTGTTGGAATAATAAAATAAGTTAAAATAGGAGATGAGATATTTGCATTAAAATAATTTAAGAAAAAATCTGGAGAAAAGGAGTATAATATTCATTCAAAATTAAACCATGAAAATATTTTGAAATTCATAGTTGGAAATGAAGAATATATTATATCAGAATTAATGCTACCTTATGATTTGTTTGAGTTTGTAAAAAGTGCTGGATAGATGTCAGTAAATGCTTCAAATTGTATTTTAAAATAATTAGTGAATGCATTGAAATATATGCATTAATTAGGAATAGTTCATAGAGATATTAAATTAGAAAATGTATTGGTTGATGGATCAAATTACAAAATTAAATTATCTGATTTTGATGCATCTTTAAATATAGATGATGGTAAGGTTCCAAAATTAATAGGAACAAGTGGATATTTGGCACCTGAAATAAACTCTATTGGATTGATTGATGCATTAAATTTATTAGAATGTGATATACATTCTTTGGGTGTATTGTATTATATTTTACTTTTTGGAACATTTCCCTTTAAGACTACTAAAGCTTCATGTGTTTTATACAAAATGATATAATAAAATAAATGGGAAGAATTTTGGTATTATTCATAGAGAAATAAGACTAAAAAAGTACCTTCTGATTGTTTAGAATTAATAAAAGGAATGATCGAATAAAATCCTTAATAAAGATTTACTTTGGATTAAATTCTTGATAGAATTGGAGAAATTAATGAAATAGATTATGTAAATGAAATGTAAATGATTCATACAAAATTAAGGTCAAAGTTGTGAGAGAGAGACAAAAACAAATTTGTAAATATTAGTCCTGCCTTAAGCATTGTGTAAAATGAATTGATTTTTGATTTCTATTATATTTTCTGATAAAATACATAATTTTTAATAGGGTTATAAAAGAATTTATGAGAATATACCTGATGAATTGAATTTAAAAAATTAAAAAAAATTAAAACATATACAGAAAATTTAAGTGATGAAAATCTCATAAGAAATCATTGGTTCTGGATTAACATGTGAAGTTAAAAAAGTAAGCATAAATGATAAAGAATATGCTATCAAACTATTCAAAGACAATTGCTCTTAAGAATCTATAAAAAAAGAAATCCATATACTTTCTTAAATAAAACATAATAATGTAGTGCTATTGATAGATGGAAGTGCTGAGAAGAGATTCATGATAACAGAGCTTTTAGAGAAAATGGATTTGTTTGACATTTTGGAAAAAGGATAGAAGCCTTTTTCAATCCCTTCAATAAAATATGTTATTTTATAATTAACAGCGACAATCCAATATATCCATAAATTAGGTTATGTTCATAGAGATATTAAATTGGAGAACATTTTGATGGATAAGTAAATGGAAATAAAGATTTGTGATTTTGGATTTGGAGAATAAATTAAGGGAGGCTTAGTTACAAGATCTTCTGGAACTTTGGGATATTTAGCACCTGAATTATAAAGTTAAGGATTAATAAACACTGAAGCATTACCTATAACAGAAGTATTTTCATTAGGAGTATGCCTTTTTTTATTGGCATTTGCTCATCCTCCATTCAGGTAAAGTACTAAAGCATGTGCTTATTGGAGATTGATTTCAACTAAATAATGGAATAAATATTGGTTGGTTGTTGACAAATAGAACAAATATAATGATGAATTTCGTTCTCTTATATAAGGAATGCTAGAATCAGATCCATTAAAAAGAATGACAATTGATTAAGTATTAGATCACTAATTCTTAATTGGAGGAAACAAAGAAACATTTTAATTAGAAGTATGGGAACGAATTAAAATTAAATGAAAAAACTGTAGATGATTAACAAAGAATGCATGGTTTTATTGATTATTTTTTATTTTGAAATTTAGTAAACCTATTTATAATTATTTCTATTACTATTTCTATAAAAAGTTTCTATTTCTATTAAAAGTATTCTAAATTACTTTTTTATTAATATTTCTATTAATATTTCTATTATTATTTTCAATATTTTTAAAGAATTATAAATCATTTGTAATTTATTTTGTAATATGCTCCATAATTTTCAGTAATTACTTCTTCACCATTACCCTTTTCAATTGGTTAAAGTATATATTTTCCATTTATATCAAATTTAATTTCTTAATCTAATTTACTTTATCCAATTATTAATAAGTTATCAATATTTATATTAATTTTATCAGCAGCTATCTTTGTATATCTATTGGATTGAGTTTTTAAATAATCTTTACTTGAAAAACTCTTATAAACAGGTTCATCATTTAATTATCTCAATATTGATTATGTAGTCTCATCTTAATTTATAATACTTGGTTTTCTTATAACTTAATCATTTTATGACATCATAAATAAAGGATAACCACTTTCATCATCTATTTCCCTAATTAGAAATTGTAATTTACAATATTTTCATTGTCTTATCTTCATTATTTCTGTTTAATGAATCATTTGTTATACAATACTCTTTTCTTCTCCTAAATTTATAACATTCCATCATAACTGATTTACTTGGATCTTTATTTGCTTATTTTGTTACTCCTTATAATAGATTGTTCTAATCTTTTTCTAATTTTAAATATTCATCTAAAGCTCTTGTTTCTTTCAATTTAATTTATTTTTTTTAAAATGGCATTTTCATTAATTCTTAATCCTCCTTTAAACGAGATTCAAATAAATGTTTCTCAATTAAATTAACTTTTGCCAATAACTCCTCTCCTGTAAATATTTATTAAGTTTTTGTTATATTATTATTTCTAAATGTATTTGTTGTATTTCCCTTTTAAAAAGTTCTTCTACTACTTGATTTTGGATCCTATCCTGTCAATTAACTAAATTTCCTTTTGAAAATTTCTGGATTACCCACTATAGATCGTATAACAATTTTATTATTTTCTAATTTTGGACCAATAGCAGAATCATATTTACACAATTATATACTAATTGGATCTTTAAAGATATTCTTAGTCTATTATTATTAAACTTAAGCATCTAAAATTTCAGTCTTGAATTCTGGATGCTTATCTATAGACATAGCTAACATGTATGCCTTCTCTTTTTTTGTATTCAATTTATTCCAAGGATTACTGTATATGCTTTATTAATCTTGCATCTATATATATATATAAAATTAGTAATATATTTTGTTTTATATTTTCATTATGGAATAAAGAAACATTATAATACTTTAATATAAAATGCTCTAAGAATAAACAGGCATTAAGAATGATGAGAAATAAATCAAATATGCCTTACTTAGTAATATAGGATGATATAATTATGGGCAAGATTCTAATTCAATTTACTTGTTATAGTGATTAAACCAATCTTGACTTTTGTGGATATTAAATTACAAGTCTTAAAGTTAATGACGATTATTGGAGTTAAGAAGATATTGTTAAGAATTGGAAAAAACATTAATTATCCATAAATACCATTATAGGTGAAAATTGCATATTGATTACATTCTGTGTGAAATTTTCAGAGAATAAATTTGGAATTATAAAATATACCTAAAATTCATCTATTTACATAACATCTTTATTCTGTCCAAATTATTGTCATTCAGTATTATCATTTTAATCAATTAGTGTTTTCCTTGTTTTGATTAACCAGACATTAAAGCTTAGATTAAATTGTAATTAAAATGTCCAAAAGAATGGTTAGCAATTTCTAATATGAATTCTACTTTAATAGAACCATTCTCTGAATCTTAAAATAAATGGCATTTTGCTATTACTCCAAAAATTAGTGTATATCTATTTCGTTTGAATATGGGTGAATGGAAAATGATACCTACAACCTTAATCTCAGGTATTCAAATGAATCTCTATTTTGAATCTCAAAAGTAATCAGCTTGTATGATGTATAATGTTTCATTTATATAAGTTAATCAACTCTTATTTAAAATTGTATTGAAGAAGGATTTAAATATTATGTATAATTATTTGGTATTCCATTTCCATTTTAAAAATATGATATAATATTTTGTACCGTTTATTTCTAAGGAATGGAACATCCTGGAGCTGTTCTATTATTTAAAAATATTATTCAAAATTAATTAGATTCTAGGCAATTAACAATCTAAATCTCAATCACTTAAATAATTAAAATTTGATGATCCTAAAATACATTATTTACTTTACAAATAAAATGGTATTGATTTAGATATAAATATAAATTCACATCCAATCGAAATGAACATTGAAGATGCAAATCAAGGTTTATAAGCATTTGATTCTATCACTTATAATAAAGGTTCTTCTGTTCTTTAGGCACTTGTTAAATTAATTGGATTCAATGATTTCATTGATATTATTAGACACTATCTGAATAAATTTAAATGGGCTAATGCTACAACTGATGATCTATTTGATTTAATCTAATAGAATACTTAGAATGTTGACAACACTAGATGGAAACGACTATTCATTTAATAAAATGGAATCAATCTAATCGAAATAATACAGTAAGTCTAATAATCGATTTTAAAGTAAAGTTCTATCAGTGGAAATTCAATAAGATAACATCTAATCAATGTACTATTGATTAAAGACAATGAGAAGATGGAATCAAAATCAATTATGATGACAAAAGATTAGCATTATCTCTGGAAATTTAATGAATATTCAGCTGCCATCCTTAATTATAGTGGTGATTCTTATTGTATTTCAACATTCGATGATAGATCTTTATCTTATTTACTTTTAAATTTCAATAAATTAGAATTAACTATACAAATAAGAATATCAATAATCAATAATCTTTTTTAAATGGCCTGTCTATTGGGAACATTTCAAGTTAAACTATTCATGGACTTTATTTTACAAGCTATGAATTCGAATATTGATACTGAAGTAAATTACCATATCTATAAACTATTTAGGTTTTGGATTTTATGATAGATACATTGGGTACCGTATTTATGAATTTAAATGTTGAACAATAATCTGGATTTGGTCCAATCATCTTTGATAAACTCTACTTACTTAAACATAAACTATTTAATTCAAAGTAACAATACACAATTAAATCGGAATAAGGTTTTTATAAAAATATTTAATAATTATATATTACCATCACTAAAAGAAATTTATCATTAAAAACCAGGCTCATAAATTGTTTTTTTAAAAATATTTGCTTGATTAGAATCATCTCTAAGAATATGAATCAATTTGGGATACTCTCAAATAAAGAAATCCAAATTTATTTAAATTTAAGAATATTTCAATTGTTTACTTGAAAATACAGCAGAATACAATCAGATGGAGTATATATTTAAAGGAATGAATAATTAATACTCACTTATCTATGAATAATATGTTTAAATTTATGAGTCCAATGTAAAATAATTATGTAATAGTATTGATTAATATAAGATATAAATGTATTATTTATCTTATAAATAGTATTCTTAATAATGGATTTCCAATATAAGGAAATTTTCATATCCAATTAAATATATTGAATGATTTAGATCAAAGATTTTCAAATTTATAATTTACAATAAATAGACTTAAAAAAAGAACAATTCAAAGATAAAAAATACAATAATGGTTTGATTGAGTAATGATATATATAATAGTCATTATTTCATTAATTATTGTAGAATTTATTTACAATTTTTGTCACTTTTATCAAAATGAAGACTGGGTTCAGTTTTAAATCTCTTCAAAAACGTTTCAGATCTCTATTTATTTAATTCTAAAATATTAAAAATAGAATTACTGTCTTTTAAACTAGATAATTAATTTAAAGTTTTTTGGATTGATTCTTACTTCTTTTTTTTATCTTTTGAAAGACTTTCAATCAATTATTTAAGATGATCATTACAATTCTCTTTATTTGCCATCAAACTTTCTTTTCTCTTTAGACTCACTTTAGTACTCTAATCAACAAAGGACTATTCTTCAAGCTAGAATAAGCAAGAATAAATACAATTGTTTCTAATTACTATTGGTAATGAGTACCAAAGGATTATATGATATGATCTAAATATGGAGAATTATCAGGTAACACATCACTAACAATATAAATTGATTTAAGATGATAAAACTAAGACTTTTATTCATTCTTTAAGTATCTTGTTTCAGATGCAAGTTAAAAATAGGCCATTGACAATAGTATCAATTTTTCAGTTAAGACCTTTTAACTAAATTCATATAATATTTCTCCTTTTAGACACACTTCTTCATAACTAAGCAAACGAATATATAGTATGTTGTTAACATTAAATGATATAAGCCATTCATTTTCATTGAGTAGACCGATCATTGATCTTTGATTGAGTTTAGAAATGGATTGTCTAAGTGATTTATCATTATGTTAAGTATTCAATTTCCATGAAAATATTTGATTTGCTATTTCTGATAATTTTTACTATTCATCAGGTTCGATTAATTAAGTAGTAATGAATTGTTTGATGAATTTCAGTAACTCATTAGATCTCTTTAGAAGCAGATTCTTAAAATCATACTCTTCAAAAATGTATTGTCCCTTTTAATATTTTTGTGCTTTTTTATTGTTTGTCTATTAACTGCTTTAATATTAGTAACTGATATCAAAAAGTCTATTAAGTAATTGTATGGTAGAATGGGCAACATTAGATGCCATTTAATGTTAATTCAATTATGATAATATTCCACAGTATTATAATTGTACAACAGCTAAGAGATGCATTCGTTTAATGAGTAAGATTTGATTGTTTTCCTATTGAATCATTTCTTATAAATTAAAAACGGTTCCTTCTAAGTATTAAGCAGCTTTATCCAAATTACATAATCTAAAGTTAGTTTGAAATAGATATACGCTTGATTAACACCTGCAAGATTATAGATGATAGTAACGATGAGATTACGATCTATGATTTTACCACAATCAGCATTGTATTATAATAGACCAATTGCTTATTCTAAGATTTCAAGAGCTAGATGAGAATCAGTTTATGCAAGTGCTTATTTATTTAGTGTTTCAATTACTTCCATATTACGTTAATTATATATTAAAATTGCAAATTAGCGGGCAAACAAGAAAAAAATGCCACCAAGGAGAAATACTCGTAATAACCATAGAATATAAGAATTCTTTGGTAATGGAACTAAGAAAGAAAAGAAAGAAATAAAATAGATGCAAAAACAATTTAAGAAGTGTCCATAACTTGGATAGGTTGGATCATAATTAAGAAGAGTACTACAATAATATAGAGAAGAAATAATGAAAGAATTTAATTATGGAGACTTAGTTAAATAAATATCTGAGATATCAAAATTAGAATAGATTGGAGGAATGTTAAACTCAATTTTATATTTGAATGTTACTAAAGTATCAGATTATTGGAGTGATGTTTATACTCCTGATAATGTTGATGATGTAAATAATTATCTAAATTAGTTACTTAGTCAATAAAATACATTAATTTTGAAACATTGGCTTAAGAGTTCATTTTCTATTCTAAAATAAGACTAGCTAGAAGATTCTGATTCATGGGATTCTTAATCTAATTAAGTCAATAATTAAAATTGGAATTATTAAATGCTCAATATCTATGGAGCAAGTGGTAAAATGAGTACTATTTTTGCTATTGCTCGAACATATAATATAGAAGTTATTCTTACATATGAAAATACAGAAAAAAAAGAATTTGAAGAAATGTTAGCTAGTCAACATATCAAATTTAAACCAGAATAATAAAACAATGAATTTGGAATCAAAAAAAAAATCATTATTCATAGAGGACCTTTACCAAAATTTATTAATTCAAAATTTCTATAAATTTAAAGGGTTCCTTTCATTTGGATTACAGGTATTTTTTATATTCATCTTTTATTAGATACATATCAAAATCATGAATTATTTGATGCTTTTGAATTACTTCAATATTAACATGAAGAAATTGTCAAATATTTCTATTTGATTCTAATAATTGAATATAATTATAGGGATTAATTAGATTCTATTAACACAGAATTCAAAAAGAAAGTCATTTATGAAAATTTGATAGAAAAACTTAAATTTGGAGATTTTTATAATAATTTTTACATAATAAAACCCACTATTGCAATCAAAGATTTAAATATTAAGTTTGATCTTTCAGAAATAAGTATGATTACCTTGCAAATGAAAGGAAATATGAAGAGTATTCTAAATTGGTTGTAATTCCATCATGAAGACTAAAGTACACATTTATTGATTATGTAAATGAAATTAAATGAAACCCATTTACAATACATGCTTAAAAATCATTTGCCCATCTTTAAATGTGATTAATTTAATAATTAGTTTAATTAACATGCTTAACAATGGCTTGATGAATAATGTATCGAATTAGTGGATGATATTGTCTAATATAAGAATGATATCTTGAAACGTAACTATACAAAAAGGTCATTGAAATTCAAAATAAATTCATTCCTTTTAAATTATACGATTAAAGTAAGACAATGATATATTATATGATAGATAAATGCAATGAATACAAAATAGCATACTTCCAGTACAAGATAGAGAAGATTAAATAAAGAGCCAAAGGATATATATAAACCACTTCAATAATTCTTCAAAGATGAAGAAGAATATGAATAGTTTAAACAATTCGATAAATCTTCTGCATTTTTGGTGAACTGATAAAAGATGCTTTAAAAAATCTCTAATCAAAACTATTTATCAAACATTGATTATCCTCTTTTTAATCGTTTTACTAATTGAGAAGGCGTTCTTGTTCGAGAAAATGTTTCATCCGTCTCTTCTATCTAAGAATGCTCTTTAATCATCTTAAACTTTGAAGACCCAGTTCTAAAATTAGTTTATGTATTGTTTTAAGATGAAACAATAGAAGCACTAACAACTCTAATTGAACCTCTCTTCAATGAACGTATTGTCATATTTTATCTACTCATACGCATTGGTTCATTTAAAAATTGATTCTATATTTAAATTATTATGCGTTAATACATTCATTATTTCTTCTTTAACCTTCTATAAAAAGGAGATCTTATAATTAGGATGTTAAATTGGATTAGGAAAAAGAACATCCGGTAAAGTATTTAATCTCATTTATTTAATATTAATAATGATTTCTTCTCAAAAATGTTAAGGAGAAAGAATTGAATACTTACAGCAATTAATTTTAAGATTAATGGGTTTAATATATTCATTTGCCTTTTCCAGTTGGTACTATTAAATCCCAGCTTTATATTCTAAAAATGGATTGATGCCTATTGCCCAAATATAATGGTTGAATGTTACTAAAATGCCAACTCTATTATAACTAAGTAAAAATGATACTACTCTTACCTTAATTACAATTTGTGGCACTATAATTGGATTATTAGCATTTGTTTCACCCAAATTTATTAAGTGGTACACATTTTTTATATTGTGGGTATTGTACCTTTCACTTTATAATGTTGGTTAAGACTTCAGTTAATTTCAATGGGATATCATGCTTTTGGAAAGTGGTTTCATATGCATTATCTTTACTATTATGCCTTCTGTAGGAAGAGAATTACTTCGATGGCTTGCATTTAGACTATATTTCTCAAGTGGATTAGTTAAATTCTTAAGTCAATGTGAAACTTGGTGGAATCTAACTGCTTTACATCATCATTTTGCATCATAATGCATTCCTCATTTTCTATCTTGGTGGGCACATCAATTACCATCAGAAATTAAAAAATTTATGGTTGCTGCTAATTTTTATGTACTCATCTTTGGAGCTATTTATTTTTATTTCCCTACAAGATTTATCAGAATTTTTGGATTTCTTTTGCAATTCACAATGTAAATCAGCATTATATTAACTGGAAATTACAACTTCTTTAATCTCTTATCAATTATACTAACTATGGCTGTTTTAGATGATTACTTCATTTACAAATATTTCCCATCTTAAATCAAAACTTTTATTAATATGCCAAAATCAATTGAAGTTTTTGAATTAAAAAAAAGCAATAAACTTTATCTATCCATTGAAATTATTATATGTTTCTATATGACTGGTGTAATGATTTTCAATTTATTTCCTTATGAAACAATTATGAATGCCAAAAAATTACCATTTACTGTCTAAGATATTGGAGATTACTTTCTTACTGAAAATAATTTAAATTATTTTCTCTTGTATGTACTGACATTCTTCTTTTTCTATTTAACATATTTTAATCTCTAAAAAGAGTCTTCCTAAAGTACTATAATTGCTATACTAAAAACTTTTGCTAAAATCATTGTATTTATTACAATGTTTAGTATGTCAAATATGACATTCCAATAAGGAATAGGTATCAGACATATTAATAGTCCTATTATACCATAATAATATTTGCAATAGGTTTAATAATAAATATATCCTTTTCATTTATTTAACAGTTATGGGTTATTTAGAAAAATGACTGGAGTTAATGGTAGACCTGAACTTATTTTTGAAGGTAGTGAAGATGGTAATAAATGGTTAGAATATCATTTCTATTATAAACCAGGAAAAATTAATGAAATTTCACCTTTTGTTGTACCTCATTAACCAAGATTAGATTGGTAATTATGGTTTGCATCTTTATAAGAAAATCCTTCAGATCTATATCTTGTAATTTATTGTTATTATCTATTAGATTCACTTAGTTTATAAGATGTTAGATGGATAAAATATTGATTCTTTTGTTTCAACTAATCCCTTCTAAAAAAAACCTCCTAAATTTATTAGAATTAATAAATATCTATATTATTTTACCAATGTTACTGAAATGATTTAAACTGGAAACTTTTGGAAAAGAATTAAAAAGGCTGAATATTTACCTCCGATTTAATTACATGATAGATAATTGCAAAATATTAAGGAATAGTATGGATTTGAATCTGCTTCTAATAAATCAAAAGTAGAAAACACTTAATTACCATTATATTTCATAATTGTGAGTGTAATTTTTTATGCATTTTATTGATATATTTTAATGTAAAATTTAATAAAATATATTATTATATAAAAATTATAATACCATCGTTATTCAATATTCTATTGCGGTTGTTTTTAAGACGAAATTATTGATCAGCTTAAATGAATTAGCACATAATCTCATCAAATTGACTTTTTCGTTACTGATATCAAACTACTATATCTTGACTCATTAATTATACTAAAATTGGTTTTTAAGATAAATTTTAACACTCACTATTTACTAATTGAGCAATCAATTCTAAAAAAAATAACTTAAATAGCCTTGAGATGTTTTAAAAGTTTTTTGTAGAATTAAATTAGAGCGATTAAAAATTTTTAATTCTTCGTAAAATCATTGATAGATCTTATCAATCATTATAAGAAAATTTTTAAATCAAGCTTTCCTTATGTTATTAGGTATTATTAAATAGGATTTATGTCACATATGTCATATTCAATTATACTGAAGTTAAATTACAAGTTAAACAGGACTATTGAAAAGGTTAATTTTAAAATACGCCCAACTTAAGATGACTTCTAAGTTTGATAATAATTAAATAAAAAATTTAGTTTAAAATTAACTTAATAATCTTAAATGATTTATATATATTTAATCCTTATATTATTTGATCTCATTATTTAGAGTTAAAAATTATAAGTACAATATCGTAAATTTGAGGTGATATTTTTTTTAAATTAATCTCATTATTATCCACCACCTTATTTAATATTAGAAGTAATTATAAGTATGCTTCATGTTATAATTCTTCAGTATTTAGTAAAATTAATAATTAATGACTTAAGTAATTGAAAAATTATTATAGCCTAATATCTTAACAATTTTATTAATTGTATACATAAAGAAATCTCAACTAACAATTTTAATCTATTCAAAAGCAATCTCATTGATTTAAGAAAAATATATGAAGAAAAAATAACATAAGATAGATCTGATTAAAAATTCAGCATGAAATTACTATTGAATAGATTAAATTAAAAAAGATTAAATGTTTAGTTGTAAAATATTAATGATTATTATCTAATATCCATGAAGATATATAAGTAAGTAACTTGATATTAAGATAAATAATATTATTATTATCGTTATATATAGATTAAAAATAATTTGTTGGATAAGCTCGTTAACATTTTTGTTTATATTTCTTTAGAATGAAATATGAAATAGATACATTCAATAAAATGAATTATACTTTATACTAAGAGATTATTGTAGATGTATAATACGTTTGCTTTCATTTTCTGATTCACTTATTTCTGAATTATTTTATAATATATCTTGTAAAATATATAATTATTGGATTAATTAAATTATTAATGACAATCGTAAACAATGCTTTTATAGCGTCAGTATTAATTTACTCATTCTTCTATGATTGTAGACTCTTATACATATTTATTGGGATCATAGGTAAGTATGATAATAATAAACTAGTTATCTATTAAGTATTATCTTATTTGTTCTATCCAAATGTGAGTTATGGATCTGGTAGAAGAAGATTATCTTAAGCTCTTTGGAGTCCTCCAACTGAAGGAGTGATTCATAATTTAGTAGAAATTGACTTAACAAATACTATGAAATATCTATCGACATAATAAGCAAAGTAAATAAAACAATAATTAATTCAGGGATTCACGTGTTACTTTAACTCATGTATGTATAAGAGCAATAGCTGAATGTATTAATGCTAGTAGAAAGAAGATATGTGGAAAGATTGTATTTGGAAAATTTGTTGAGTTTCCTACTATTGATATTTCATGCTTAGTAAACATAGGTGAAGGAGATGATTTAGCAGCATTATTAGTTTAAAATGCTGACAAAAAAAGTTTTGAAGATATTGCTGAATATATTAATGGCAAAGCTAAATTAGCAAAATAGGGTAAGGATGAAGAACATTAATAAAGATCAGGATTACTTAAATATCTTCCTCCTTTGTAATTTTTATTATTTTATATATAGTGTTATTGGTTTACTCATTTAAGTTACATCTTTTCTAACATATAATTTAGGAATTACAATAAAAGCATTAGGTTTAAAAAAAGATTGCTTTGGAGTTGCTACTGTGACTTCTATTGGAACTCTTGGATTTAGAAATGTAATTGCTCCATTCACTCCAATGATGAGAAACTTATTGATAGTTACTGTTAATCAGATTGTAGATAAAGCATTGGTTAAAGATGGAAAGATTGTTATTGCTCCTACTTTTTAATTAAACTTTTGCACTGATCATAGATTTTTAGATGGTGGAGCTATTGTTAAATCAAATAAAGTGGTAATCTTATTCAATCTAATATATTTATTTAGTTGTATGATGTTTTTGAAAATCCAGATAAATATGCTAGAAAATGATAATTTTAATAAAATTATATATATTTATATAAAATTAAATCACAACAAACATGAAGGACAATATGACACCTTGTAGGATAACCTTATATCTATTTTATAATAAAAAGAGCATTTTGAAGATTTACACTTCTCAAGTTTATATTTTTATGCTATCTTCTTCAATTGATTGATAAATAATTTTTATTTTAGTAGAATTTTAGCATGATCATCACTAAAATGCTCAAGAATATTTGGGTTTTATTTTCTTGTACATAAGCATTACAAAATAGGACTTTAACTTAATAATTTATCATGAAATAAGGTTTTTAAGCAATCTTAATGATATGTATGATAACAGGATGACTAAATAAAGGTTCCATCTATATCATTTTGACAAAAAAAACAAACTGGTTTACAAGATGTCATAGTAGTCAACGTATAATCTATAATCGTCTTCCACATCAGATATCAATTAAAATTTTTTTCTATATCAGATATCAATTCAGGATTGTTTTTTGTGTTATAATTAAAATTCCAATTAGTTTATTATTTTTAAGAGCAATTTTATTATCTTTTATATGAATATAGCTCCTCAGCATGGTTTTCTATCAAATTTTTTTTCTTTTCTACTACATTTTAAGACTATTTAAACTTCTTATCTAATTCTCTGTATTCATTTTATAGTAGGTTGTAGCTATTCTATAATTACTCAAAAGCTGTGCTATGAAATTAATTTATATCACTATTTGAGCGATTATATGTGTCTTAGAGTGATATTACCTTAATGGATAGGATTTCTTTAATTTTGAGTCGTTCACTAAATTAGGCAAAAGTTTCATTAAAAAAACAAACTATTCCATTGCTAACTACCAAAACATCATTATCTCCATAATGAAGTTCTTTAATTTTTTTATACACTTATTCATCTTGATCGAAGAAAATTTCCATAACATATCCCTCATCTAGGGAAACCCTAGCGAACCTCTTTTATATTTAATTCATTAATAATAAATAAAATATCATTTTTTAAAGATAAATAAAAAGAAGTTTATAAATATTTAATGCTAGAAAAACTTAGAAAAGATGAGAATTTAATAAATAATTATTGATTCAAAATTAAGTATCTAAATTAAGTTTTAATACTGAAAAAATTACTTTATAAACTTAAAAATTATTATTTCCTTTTTTGTAATATTTTTTTCAGTCCATCTCTTTAATTATGTATTTTAGTTTAACTGTAATTAAGTTTTTTGTTTAGCAATTTATTTATCTCCTATAAAAAAAGTATTCTATTTAAAAAGATTTAATCTACTTTAAATTAAGGGAATTCTGTATATTATATTAATGAAAACACTTAACAAAATTTGCCATTTAAATATTTTGAAATTTAATAGCCATTTTATTGAATTTCGATGACATAAATTTATTTTGATATTTATAATTATTTTTTCTTTTTTATAATCATGATAAGAGAAGAATGGAAAATATAATTTAAGAATAGTAGTTTTAGAAACCTTAAGAAACAGAAAATAGAAAAAAATAAAATTTAGCAAGAAATTAAATAAACCATTTAGGATTCCTTAAGCAATATGAAAGATATGACTAAATTAAGGATAATGAAGATAAAATAGATTTAGAATTCAGAAGATTTGAAATGAGAATTTTCTTTAACTCTAATTCTAACTATAAAAACGAAATTTTTGAAAAATATTATTAATCTCGTTAGATATGGAAAAATAAACAGATTATATACCTAATTACAAATTTCCAATAATAATATTTAATTAAGAAATTGGATTAAGAGATAAGCATATTTTAATCAATTAAAAAATATTTCGAACAAGTTCAATAATTAATTCTTATGTCACTTACCTTTAAGCTATGGATGAAAACTATTATTTTACTCAAAAAAGTAAAGAAAGAATAAAACATAAAAGATTGTTTATTTTTATTTCAGATTTTATATGAATAACTAATTTTTTTAAAATTATAATAAATTGTAATTTCAATGACTTTCATTTCTACGACATTTAGTTAGATCTAAAAATATTCTTCTAAATTCTCGGCAAAAATTTCTCAAAACTTTTAATATCTCAGTTGAATATATTTCAATCCTTTATTAGATATACTTTAATTCTAATTATTTAGATTTTCAATTATCTTAACCTTTAATGCTATCTGAACTAAAAATATTGTTATCTTTATATGAGATCTTTGTATTAAATTTATGGATTTACATTCTGTTTTTTAATTATAAAAAAGTAAAGGTAAGGAGGATAAAGTCTTAAATGACTTTATAGTTTTAAATTCTTATGAAATAGATAGACCATAAAAATTTAAAGAAAATAAAAAAGCTTAAATAAATATAATAGTATAATAAAAATAAAAAAAGCAACTTAATAGTTATTAAAAAATTCCCTATTACTTAATTTCAGATATTTTGTATTATCTACTAATATTGGTTATTATTTATCTAGATTAGAATTTTGATATAAGTAGATTTAATACAAAGGCCATAATGATTAATATTTAAATTGACAATAACTATTGGGTCTATTTAACATGTTTATCTAAAAATTAAACTTATTTTGATATAAATTATTCCCAATCATTTTCTTCTAAAGTCTTTAAAGTTCTTTTGATAGACTTCGATTTTTAAATAATTGCTTAGCTCTTATAAAAATTAGAAGATTATGTTTGAATTTGATTAGATTAAGACATGTTATACTATAGAAGAAATAAAAATAATATATAATATTATATAAATAAATATTAATATTTTGTTTTTTGAAATAAGATTGAGAATATTTTAATATTGTGAGAAATCTCTCATTTTTGGATTATGTTTATATAAATAAAGATAATGAGTTACTTTCATTTATGATAATATATAATAATAATATATATATATTATGTAGGAAATATTATTTTATAATGTACGAATTTATGAAAATATCATCCATAAATTTTAATTGGTTTACCCATGGAGGTCTTGATGTGGAGCGTTCCAACATTATTCCATCCTTTTTTAAGGAGGGAAACCAAGAAGTTAATGGTTGTACTCAAGTTTTATCTGAGTTAATCTTCAGTCATTTCATCAGTACCGAAAGCTGTACCAAGTGATAATGTATTTTTCAATTGGAATCTATATTAATATTTAAAAAAAGATACTTGACTGAAGCTTTGACTTCAGTAACTTTGCTGCCAACAGATTCTGTTTCAGGGATAGCAATAGGGAATTTACCAATTTTGGTAAAGACATTACCAACAAGTCTTGGAATAACTTTCATAAGGGATTCTGAGGCAATCAAGATATCAAAAGGTTTGCACCACTTTTTGATTGGTTTCTTTTCTTTATTGAACTTTTTAAGGCCATCTTAATCGATCGCGGTGAGACCGAGAGCCTTGGCCTGATCTGTATTGATGAGAGGTAAATCGTACCGCAATGAGTTAAATTACCAATAACACCGATTTTGATGTTAGGGTAAGGGGCATGTAACAAACGTGTTGAGCCTTAGAAACGTTTGTCCTTCTAGACATCGTAATCTCTCAATTAGATTTACAACTCTGTGGTCTCTTTAAAGTTTCTCTTCTTTCTCTCTGTCAACATTTCATGGATGAATTTCTTCAATTATTCACCTTAGATCTTGCTAAAGAAAGCTTTACAGACATTTAATACCTCATTCCTAATTTTTTAAAAAAAATTTAAATAAAATTAAATCCACCTAATCAACTCATTAATTCATTATTCTCACTATAAATTTTATTAATCATATATTTCTCATTAATATTTCAATTCTAAACTAATTATACTTCATTCATTATTAACCTTCAATAATATTCCTTTATTTCTATATATATCTCTATTTCTTTATACACTTACAACAATATTATTCAAAAATACAATATGCTTTTTTTATAAAAATTATCAATCATATCAAATTCCCATCTCTTAAATCAGCATTAAAACACCTTTGTAATATTTATAATTTAATATCATAATCATAATTAAATCAAAATAACTTTTCAACTATATTACTCTTTTTAAACTCAAATTTTCCAATTATCATGCTTTTTTGAGTAAGATAATCATATATATTTAATTGATTACTACAAATTAATTTATATTCACAATTATTTCAATATTAATCATATTACTAAGAATATTAATTATATTATTTAAAAAATATGTCTGATTCTAATAACTGTGTTACAGAATACAAGAAGAATTTGATAAGCAGAATTAATCAAATACTTCAGAATTAATTATATCTAAGTGTTAAATAATTTTGGATAGTACTAAGTGACTAGAAATCATAATACTATTAATAGTGATGAAAATGAATGTATATAAAAAAAATAAATTAATTACTACTAATTCATTCAGAAAACAAAATAACAACAACCTTTATGAAATTAATAACAATATTAACCTCACTATAAAAATAACAAAGTTGTAGAAATAAAAATAAAGTTCTTCATAGATAGAAACCTAATAATGAATAATAAATAAGATAAAAACAGAGCCTTAATTAGAGCCTTTAAGAAATTAGACTCTAAATATTCAAGAGACTTTTAATGAGATTTTAAATAGTTAATAATAAAACTAATGCAAAAATAATTGGTAGAGAAAACTTAGAGGAAATAAGTAAATTTAAAAATCTATTTTTATTGATTCATTTATTTAGATACTTAAAAGAGACTGGTAAACTATGGTTATTTGAAAATATGAAAATTATTATAATAATTTATATTTAAAGTGTTTAACAACAATAGAAACTAGATTACCAGTAGTGAGAAAGAGAGATTTATATGTAGTAAAGAAGATCTAAGAAAATTGATAAGGATTTTGAATTCAATAAAATGATTTACATTATTATTAATAATTCTTCACCAACTTTGATAGCATCTTGGAATGTTTACCAATAATGGAAGGTTTATTCTTTTGAATTTAGCTCAACATCTACATAAGTTAATCTACTCCTTATTTGATACACTACTCAGTCACATTCCCATTTTGATTTATATGGCCAAACGTCACTTTAGTAAATTTTTAGATGTCATTCATATCTGTGGGGATCTTATTTCTGTTAGTCATGATGCTACAATGTTAACTTACTTGTCAATAAGTGCAACAATAACTGTGGTTATCACTTTTTTAGATCGATTCCTCTTTACTTTCTTTTATATTCTTCCTTCCTTTAGATAAACCTATTTTACTGCTTTGACAGTAGATAGTGGAATTTTAAATAGTTAAGCTACCTACATTTAGTATTTTAAAGTATTACTTCCTTAATTTTCAGGTTTTCATTAAATATTTTTTCCACTATTTATGATCTTATTTTGTCATCAACAACATTGTATTTCGATGGTCTCTATTTTCTAGTTTATGGCATATTTTTCATTTTTCTATAAATTTATTAAAATAATTAATGTTCTAGAAAATCAACTTATGATTAGCTTACATTTGATTAAATTAATTAAATATTTTCAATCTTTGTCCAATGTAAAGATTAGAATATTCTAAATACAATAATTATATATATATATATTTATATATAATATACTCCACATTTCATTATTATTGTTGTTATTATGGTATTGATTACGTTGATTACTATGATTATAATTAGCTAATCTAATTGTTTTGCCATTCCAAATTAGGATCATTTGTATAAAATGGATTAGTTGTCTATAATAAACATTCGCTATACTTTAGCAGTAGGATATTCTTATAAGAAATCTAGATCATTGGATTCCAATTAAATATTAAATGGCTTATTTTATAAAATATATTCACAATGCAATTCTAATTAATTATTTAATTAATAAATTACTTATAGTTTTATCTAAATTAGATTTGATTTCAACAGTTTTCCAAAATTCAGCATCAAATTTATTTAAATCTTATTAATACTCTTGAATATATTAAAGTTAAGGTCCCTTATATGAATTTACTATTAAAAATAAATATTATAAATATTACAATATTAAATGATCATAAGTTAATATTTATGATTGACAATTTAATTTATTTCAGTTTAATTATTTTTAAGTTTATTTAATAATTTAACACTCAAAAGAGGTCTATTCTATTGGATATAGAAAGAGACTAATTATTTGAATGCTTAAAAATTAATTTCCTTATTGTTATAATTCGTATGTATTAAAACTTAAGCAAATTGATTTTACATTTTAATAATGTCTTATTCAGTTTTTAATTGAGATAATAGATATTCTCCTGAAAGATCAAATTTCTTTTACAATTCAATACTATAAATATGTCCTTCAATAGAAAATTATTCTCTGAGATGTTTTTCTTCTTCTTATTTTTATTATAATTTTTATAATTATTTTTTTTCTTTAGGTGTTAATTTCTTTTATTCTACTTTACCTTAATCTTATAATTTGAGTTTTAATCTATTTAAACCTTGAATCATTAAACCTGCAGTTTCAATAAAGTATTTAGCACTATATCTATTATCCATAGCATCAAACATTTATAATAATGATCTAAGAGTGTATTTTCTAATAGAAAATTAATAGAAATCTAATTAATCATCATACATTTCTTGATAATGTTTAAAAATTAAATAAAATTATGCTAATGCTGGTCCAAGATAATTCAATCTTAAAAATGTTCTACCAACTCCTAATTCAAACCATATCATTTATAATTCATATGGATTAGAACCATCTTTTAAAAACATTCTTAATAATTCTTATGACAAATAAATCATATTAGCTCTTAAAGCATATTTAATAGTTTTATTATTCAAATATCTATCTGCTAAATCTAATTATCTAGCTCTATCAGCTGCTTCATATGCTTCTTTAAACTTTTCCTATTTATTTAAAACCTTAGCCTTAATTAAATATAATTCATGTAATGTAGGTGTATGGATTATTGCTTCTTCAATTAATTCTAATGATTTAAGATATTGCTTAATTTAATAATGATGTTAAGCTAAAAGCATCAATGCCCATAGTTTCTATATCGGTCCAGAAATTAAATAAGACTCAAATGCTTCCTTTATAACATCTAATTTCTCATTCTATCTATACAAATGTTTAATCTCTCTAAATAATGAAGGAAGAGATTTCTAAAAAAAAGGATCAATAAATTTAATAAAACTTTCTTTAAATTTATCTCCACTATATTCAGCTAACAATTAACCTTATACTAAGGTGTTATCATAAATTGATAAATCAAATTATGGATCTGCCTTTTTTAATAATTGATAATATTTCCAATTCTATGGTTACAATTCCAATAAATGTCTTGCTGCCTCTACTGCTTCTTAACTCTAACCTAGTTTCATATATAAATCATATTAAAGTTCATAATAAGCCACCATATCTGTAATATCACTTTAGTTAATATATATATATTTACTTCTTAAATAAACTTATATTTTATTTCGCTTTCTAATAATCTTTTGCATCTATTGCTAATTAAATTTAATATAATTTAAATTCATTCATTTCAACTTTCTTTATTGGATTCTATTAATCTTTTTAAATCAATTATTCAGCTGAATTTATTGCTTTAAATGCTATCTCATAATTTCCTATCAAATGTTAACCAAATATAAATGCTATCCAATTAACTATCATATTTGACTTTTTTGTTAATATTTTATGTCTAAGTTATGCATTACCTTCAAAATCTCTTGTATGAATTTATAAATTTGCTGTATCCCTCTCTAATTAGATATTTTCTTCTACTTTTGTTAATGATTACAAAAAACATTTTACAGCCTCAATATAATTTTTTTATGCCTTATAAATTAAACCATAAATATGCCAACAAAAGTCTGATCCTAAATTCTTAAATACTGCTTGCTTAGCTAATTCTAATCCTTTTTGTTGTTCATCATTGTAATACATAAAAATGGCCTTCAAAGATACTACCTCCCAATTATCAGGTGCTTACTCTAATAATTTTTCAGCATTTCTTAGACCCTTTTTATAATCTTTTTAATCAAGCAATCTCTAATCTTAGTCATTATTCATACCACTAAAGCTCTAAATTCACCACTCTATTTAGCATTTAAAGAATTTTAAGCTGGTTTCATATCTTAACAATTTAAATTAATTTAATTATTTTATGTATTATAGACTCCTCATCTCAAATTTATTCTCATATTCTATAATCACTTTTATACATCATACTTTCTATTTTATTCATCTTCTATGTTAAATCACAATATTTTTACAACTACTAACTTTTGCTTTTTTTCATTCTAAATTTACAAAAATTTCATATCCTATATCCTCTCTCTCTTTTTTTATTAATTCTAAATCTCTATTCCCATTTTCTTGTTTTATAAACAAATATCTCTCACTACCTTTCCAATAATTTAAAATTATAATTTTAAATCAATCTAAGCACCATCTTTAATCAAACTTTTATCTACGCTCTTAAATGATAGAATAATAATATATCTTCAAATTCTTTATTCGATTTAAAAAAAAAAATATTAATTACTTATTTTCTACATTAATTATGAAATTTAATTAAAACTAATATATATAATTACAAATTTACTTCATCAATTTTATACTTTATACTATAAAAAACATATTTTGTTTATATTCATACTAATCATAATTTTCTGGAGATGAATATATTTGAAATTCATGATAACAATAGAAATATAAACTAAAATTTGTCATATAATTCTTTTTTTAACTAAACTAAAAAATACAAGAATTTTTAGAAAAAATTAGATTACTAAAAATCTTAAATAAAATTAAGAAAAAAAATTCCTTCAATTAGAGTTTTTTTCTATTAATTTTTTAAACAAGCTCATATTTAATCAAGAATATAATTCAAATAACAATATTTTTAATTAAGGCTATATTTGCCGCCATTTTTTTTTAATGTCATTAGGAATGATTAAAATTAAATAAAAAATATATACTAGCACAATTTAACACATTCTTAATCTTTAACTTTTTATATATTGATTTCTAGTATATTTTAACTGATTTCAATTCTATAATATGCTTTTAGTATTATAAGATATTTTACTAGGATAAATTAATTTAAATTTTAATTACCTCTAGAATATAATTCTGGAATTTTCACTTTTCTTTAAATTAAATAATCATTAAAGTTTTAGTATTGATGATCGATATATATTTAACCAACTTAGATATAAAATCCTAACTTAAAAAAGCCGTATCTACTATAAGCTGTAAGTATTGTTGATATATTTTAGAATAAAATCACTATAAGAGAATAAATGAGGAATTTTCTGAAATAGGGCTATTTTGCAGAAAAATTGTAAAAAGAGATTTGATAAGCGAAAATTTATGCAATTAAGAAGAAGCTTAGAAAAATAAGAAAGAAGATGAAGAAAAAAAGTAACAAAAAGTGGATACACATAATTAAATGTATTGATTAAATAAAAATAGTATTAGGAACAAAATAATTGACGAATAGAAATAAGATCTGATACTAGAATGTTAAATAGAGAATTCGATTCAATATATTAGTGGAGAAACATTGGTATTTATTGTAATAATAATTGTTTAGATTAAGGAAATAAATAATCCAGATTTAGTCTTATATGATTGCCGATACTTATATGAATTTTAAGGTGGGCATATAAAAGGAGCTATTCATATGAATCATTCTATGAGTTTATTTGAGGAGCTTTTTAGTGTAGCGAATAAAACAAATAAAATTATTGTGTTATATTGCGAATATTCTGTTAAAAGAAGTTTAGAAAGGTATTAAATAAAATTTATTTAGATATTTTGAGATCCGTAAATTAGACAGAAATACAAACTAATATCCATAATTGACTTATAATAATCTCTATCTCTTGTCTTAAGGGTATTCAGAATTCTATAAAAATTTTCCTCAAATGTGTAATGGTTGCTATATTTAAATGAATGATACTTAATATAAATCACAGATGTAGTAAGAATTACAAGAAAGAAGTATTATAAAATAGAAAAGTAGACAATAGTAATTATAAAAAAAGCTGTTTATTTTTTATACTTAATGAATTATTTATACTAATTTTTATTAAATAAAATTTTTAAAAGAAATAAAAAAATGTAATGATTTTTAAAATTATTGTCATTGTTTTCGAAATGTATTATTTTTTAATTTTTTTGTTTTGGAAATAGTCGAAAATTCGATATTAATGAGTTAATGTTAAAATGCATTTATGAAATGAAGAATCTATATTTATATAATTGTTGACAGTTAGTGATTGAATAATATGATTTTGTAAGAAATATGAACATACAGTTTGTAATAAAAATAATTTGAAATGATAATATATAATATGGAATTTCGATAGGAATAATTAATGTTCACAATTTGACTTTTTTATATCCACATCTAAGAAATTGGTTCTCTTAAAGTTAATAGTAATGTGAAATGCAATTGTGTTGTTTAGTTTTTTTGTCGTTATTATTGAAAGAGATGCGATTTTACTATGGTTAATAATTGTAATAAATATTAAAGTTGATAAGTTGGTCTTCATCTGTTGAGGTTTATAAGTGTTCGACTTTGAAAGATACATCAGTCTTTAATCCCTTTTAGTATAGATTTATTAATACCTCTGGATAAAGATGAGAATATAAATAATATTCTTGATTTTGTTATGGATGTGCTAATGGTTTTGCGAATTCCATTATATTTTTGTAATATTCTTAATTTGTGCTTCCATACTTGAGAGAAATCCTGAAAAGAAATGAAATAAAATAATTACTCTGGAATTCCATATTTAAGACATGAATCAATGAATTTTGATACGTTATAGCCAAGTTCTTCAATGAGGTTAATGTCATATTAGACTTGGCAGATAAATAGCTGGTCGAGATCTTTAATATATTTGTATTGATAAAGTCCTGAGGCTCTATAATTGGATACATGATTCTAAATAAAAGTTAAGTTTATAAATGTACTTCGAATGTTCCTTGTACTTGTTCAAGACCATTTTTAAGAGATTCAATGTATTTTTAAATGTATTGACTCAGTTCATGGGTATTTGCATCACCATAACTATCTAATTTTTTAACAACGTATTCCCATGGGGTTATAGAAAAGTCTAGTTAATTGTATTAAATAATGAGTCTTCCCTTTTCAATTATAACATTAGAGACCTTTTTGTAAGGATTTTAGCTACTAACACCTAATTTTAGATTATTATTGAAGACAATATTTTTGGCATCAGAATATAGATGAAAATCCTATGGTTATAAAGTAAAAAAGGAATATTACCCCATTCATTCTAAATGTTGAGAAGGGATTAAGAAACTTTTTTGGGAATACTATAAGTTAGACCTATTTTAAGGTGTTTTTATCTTCATCATCTTCGGTACAAGAAGTAGTAAGTAATTGCTAATCCATCTCAATTTTTAATCAAATTAATTAAACTATATCCATTTTTAATTTAAGCGTATATAAAGCATTAATGATTATATTGTTATTTTGAAAGGAGAAAATATTATTAATTGATCAGAAATAATTAATTTAATTAACTTAATCTGTGCTTTAATTGTTTAGTTAATTGTTAATTTATTATCTGAGTTAAATAAAGACCAATTCGAAAATACAAGTAAAGTGAGTTAAATTTCAATTGGAATTCAAAGTTATAATTGAGACACAAAAATAATATTGATAAGTGAAATTATTACACACTAAATAAATGTATTTAATAAAATAATGGATATTCATAAAAAATATAAATATATTTTTAAAATATTGATTAATGATTTTCAGAATATCTAGGTCCTGTTTTTCAAGTATTTCTGTGAAATTGGTAAAATATATAAAATAATAAATATAGCCACCATTTAAAGTACATCATTTAGAATTAGATTAACTTCCATAAACAGCAACAACAACATCTTCTGAATTACTAGCTTATTATAAGAGTATGTAATTATAAAGACGTATGGAAATTGCATGTGATAATCTATATAAATAGAGATTGATAAGAGGTATATAAAATTATATAAGTATAATAGGATTTTTACATTTGGCAGATGGTCAAGAATCAATATATGAAGGATTGCATGCAGGATTGACATTTGATGATTGTGTAATAACAGCTTATAGAGATCATTGTATAGCATTACTTAGAGGAGATACTCCACATTAGATAATAGCTGAAATGATGGCAAAATAAACAGGAAGTACAAAGGGTAAGGGAGGATCTATGCATTATTATAAAAAAGCAACAAATTTTTATGGAGGTCATGGAATTGTTGGTGCTTAAATCCCATTAGGTACAGGATTGGCATTTGCATAAAAATATTTAAAAAAACCAAATGTGACTTTAATTATGTTTGGAGATGGTGCAGCTAATTAAGGATAATTATATGAAGCTGCTAATATGGCTTAATTATGGCATTTACCAGCAATCTATTTTATTGAAAATAATTTATTTGGTATGGGAACATCAATTGACAGAGCTAGTGCTAATACTAAATTTTATACAAGAGGAGATGTTATTCCAGGAATATAAGTATTTAGTTATATCTATTCCTAAGATTGATGGAAATAATGTATTCTAGGTTAGAGAAACACTTAAATTTGCTAAAAAACATTGTCTTGAAAAAGGACCAATCTTTATTGAAGCTATGACATATAGATATCATGGACATTCAATGAGTGATCCTGGTGTTACATATAGAACTAGAGAAGAAGTTTAATAATAAAGAAAAACTAGAGATTGTATTAATTATGTCAAAAATATCATTCTTGAAAATAAAGTTGCTGATGAACCATAATTAGAAGTAAATATATATTATTATTGTAATATTATAGGAAATTGATAATTCTACATAAAACGAAATAGATATTGCTGTTGAATAAGCTAAAGTTGATCCAGTACCACCAAGCACAGAATTGACAACTGATGTATATGTTGACAACGAAAATCATTTCATTAGAGGAATCTTATATAAAGATAGCATAGTACCAAAGAGTTAATGATCATTTAAATAAATAATATATATATATATAGGAATACATCTTAATATTTATCCATCAAAATATTCATATATCTAATATGTCATGTTCTTCTATATTGAATACTTGACTAAAGAAAAAATGTTTAGAAGTTGATTTTGGTAGTATTCTAAGAATATTTTCAATTTCTTTTTGGAAACCAAGATCTGTAGTTTAACTGAATTCTTGAAAAACAACACTCTCCAGAAATATGGGATTTAAATACTTCTAATGAATTACATAATATAGACGATCTGGAGTGCCTATAACAATTTATGCTTCTTTCAATTGATTACGGTCTTAAACAATAGAATTCTTTTTTGATACTTAATAAACATTATTGTAATAGATATTTAAATGATCGAGCATAACTTTAACAGTTATGGCACTTTGATCATCTGGTGAAACAATCATGACTTAAGGATATAAACAATCCTATTTAATGAATGCAATAGATGTTAATGCAATAACAGCATCTTTTTCCCATTTATCTTAATATTGTAATAAAGATTTATATTCAAACAATAAATGCACAATAGACATTTACATAAACTTATTAATTTCTCTATATCCAAATTTCATGAATATTTTAATCATTTCTTTTGGAATGTTCAGTTAATTAATATCTGAATATTTCGAGTATTTCTTCTTTAGATTTTCTATATTCAATTCAAATAACTCTTTCAATATCTCTGGATCAGCTATCCTAATATATCCAGTTCTCACTATATATTGCTATTTCATTTGTTATAATTGTTTCTAGAATACAGATCTACCCATACTCAAAGTAGATGCCAATTTAACATTAGAAAACTACTAAGTGAGAGGGTTGTTGATACATGAATCATATTGATGTGGTTTTATTACTCTCTTAGAATTCTTTATTGAATCAATATTTGTTTTACAAGACTCTTAAAACTTAATTTGATTTCGTAACATATATAAATTTATTATTAACTTCAAATTTTTTTAACAATTTAAACAATATCTTCATCCAATAATTAATGATCCTTTCCTACTTTCTATGGATTATATTTAACACTAGCTCCCCAAACCAATGCATATCTAAAGTCCTTTATCATGTTTTTGTGTAACTTATTACAAAAATCTGTTATTGTTGAAAACTTCCTTTACAATATTACAGGTGCATTATAATCTATTTATAAATCATATTCCTACCTGGTTCTAATCCTTTAGGTTTCGTATAAATACGAATAAGATCCAAATAATCCCATATTCTTTCAACCAATTCATCTAAATTCCATTCCAAAAATGCAGAAATTGGTACATAATGTGGAATCTTATCTAAAACATTCAATTCTTCCAAAGTTATATCATCAATCTTATTCATTACATAAAGACAAGGAATATACTTTCTATTACCTTCTATAACATCAATTAAATCTTCATCAGTAGCATCACATTTAAGATTGATATCACAATTATTAATCTTATATTCACGTAATATAGCCTATTATATATATATAAATATCTACTTTTATTGTTTCATCATCTAATCTTGGAGCATCATGTGTTCTAGATATTGTTATACCACCTTTATCTCTTTTCTTGAATTCTATTTATGGTGGTTATTTATTTAATCTTATTCCAAATCCTTCAAGTTCTCTCTCAATTATTTTTTTATGAACCATTGGCCTTGTGGCATCCAACACAATCAAAATTAAATTACAAGTACGAGCCACTGCTATAACCTATTTACCACGACCTTTTCCATCTTTTGCACCTTCAATAATTCCTGGTAGATCAAGCAGTTGTATTTTTGCACCTTTGTGTTGTAAGACCTATTAACTTATTAATAATGTTTTTACTCCAGGTATGCACGTAAGTGTGGTAAATTCATAAGCTGCAATTTTGGAAAATACTCCTGTAAGTTTTGTAAGTAGTGTACTTTTACCCACAGATGGGAATCCTATCATACCTATTCGAGAATCTCCACTCTTAGAAACTTCAAATCCTTCTTAAGTTCCACCTCCCTTTTTAGAAGATGAATCAATCATTTCTCTCTTCAATTTAGCAAGTTTAGCCTTCAATAAACCTAGATGATATGATGTGGCTTTATTTTTTTAAGTCCTCATCATTTCTGTCTCAATTTCGGCTATCTTTTATGCTGTGGTCATATTTAATTAAATTATGATTGTACAAAAACAAACATCAGGTTCAGGTGGATTCAAGATGCCTGCAGAAATCGTGAAAGGAAAGAAATATTAATAATAGAATCTTAATAATGACCTTCCTACGAAGGATGAGCTGTTTAATTAATTAGGAATATTGCCTGATGATGACTCAGTTAGAGTAAATGATCATAGAGGAGATCCTCTTAGAATTTCTAAACAATTAATATAAGAGAAAGTAAAACATTAATATTCTATATACATATAGTAAGAACAATTGAATTATTTACCACCTAAACCACCAACACCGTAAGTGATTAAATAGAAAGTAAATTCATAGAGACTTACTTCTTAAGAATTAGAAAAAATGTTAGAGGAGCATAGATAATAAATGCGTCCTATAGCACAGTAATATGAGTAAATGAGGTTGAGTGATGTAAGAAGTAAAAGTTACAATCCAAAAAGTTAACGATCCAAGAGTCCCAAAGTTAAAGTGACTTATCATGAAGAACCAGTAAATATTGATAAATTAAGAGTAATCTTATATTCTATATATACTTTTAGCGTTCTTAGAAGGATATTGAAGGACCACATGGGGATTTTTTAAAAGGAGTATTACCTAAACAAAAATTATAAAAATTTAAATCTGAATCTAAATTGATATCTGATGATGATTTCTAAAAGAAATTTAAAAATTATTTAAGAAATAAAAGAAAACATGATTAAAGTAGAAATAGTTCTCAGGATAAATTGGAATTTGATTTATATTAAAGTACTAGTCCAAATAGAGGAAGATGGAATTCTAAACATATAAATAAAGCAGTATTTAAAGATCGAAGTGTTTTAGGAAATGAATCTTCATTAAGTAAAAGTTAGAGTAAAAGTAAAAATAAGAGTAAGAAAAATAAAAAGAAAGAATAATCAATGTCTGAATAATAATTATGTGAATAGATATTCAAATAAATAGATAATGTAAATCAATTATTTTAATACTTTCTAGAAATCATAAGGTCTTATAGATAAAATTCAAACTATCAAATATTTGATTTCTAATCCTGAAATTATGGAAGCATTTAATATTAATCCTAAAGATTTGAATTAATAGGTGAATAAATTTCCAACGAAATAACAAGGTGTCTTTACATAAAATGAGTTGATTAAATTTTTATAAAAGTACAAATCTCAATTTGATCATGAAGCATTTGGTGGATTGAGTCATGTTTCATAATAATAATAAGTTTCAAGTTGTTTATTGAATGAAGATTAAATTCAAATCTTAAAGAATATATTTGATTCATTATAAAATGATATGATCGCATAAAGAAAAGAACTCATTTAAGCATTTAGAAATGACATTTAGGTTGTAAGAATGTTACATGTTTAAGCTGCATATGTTGCATCTATTGATAAAATACTCAATTTAGATACAATCTTATCATAATTAGAAGCATAAGCTTATGAATTCCCATACATATCTTGGAAATAATTTATGGATGCATTTGAATATGATACAATGGTTAGTAAATAAGAATTAGCATTTGCTTCTCTTAAAGAATCATAAAAATAAGTAGATGATCAAGATAGAATAGATGCACCTGAAGAATTATAATAATTAATAAAAGATTAATTTAATAAGATTGTGATGGATGATTATGTTACAGCCTTTGATCTTATTGAATGTATAAGAAGAGCACCTCTATATTCAGAATTAAGAAAATAGATTGTTAGAAAATAATCTAAAAAAAGTGATATCAAAGAAGAAACTTTAGAATAAGTCTTGAAAAGAATTGAAGAAACAGCAGAAGAGTATTTGACATTTTCAGAGTTTATGAGTTATTTTACTAGAAGAGGATAACCTAAATTTAATGATGAAGTTGCAAGTCTTGCTAAAAGTATAAATGTCACTGAAGCTTTGTAAAATGATGAAAATAGAATAGATGGGTATGATTCTGATCCAGAATTACATACTTATTAAGATAAAATGTTACCAAGAGAAAGATTAATAAAAAAACATCCAAGTTAATAAGCATTGTTAACTTATAGTCATCGTAAGAAATCCTTGCCATCAAAAAATCCAATTAATAAGGAAGATTTTTTATCTGCAATTTAACCTAAGCCATAATATGGAGCTCATTCTAAACCTAGTGATTATCAATTTAGAGTTACTTAGCCATAGCCATTTAATTTTGATAAGAGAGAGAAAGAGCGTTCTTTATCTATTAGAGAGAAAAAGTTATAAGAAATGTTGAATGAAAAAAAAAGGAATGATTCTTTCAAAAGTTTTAAAGCAAAAGAAGTCCCTTAAATTGTGAAATAAGATGGGTTATATGAAAAAATAATAAACGACAATGAAAAACGTAGAGAGGAAGTTAAGAAAAATAGTGTATAAATGACTTTAAAAAATGAAAGACCATTTTCATTTTATAAACGAGATGAAAACTCTTCAAAAAAACCTCGTAGAAAGTATTGGTAAGAAAGAGAAAAATTTGTATTTAAGGCAAAAGCTATACCTTGGCATGTTCATGTAGAATTATTGAGACAAATGGAATAAGATGAAGAAACTAAAAGAAAAGAACGTATTGCAAAACATGCTCAAGAATTAGCTATGAGTTCAAGAATGCCACCTAGAATGGAAATGCATGAAAGATAAAAATAAGGATAACCTTAATCCCCTAAATATATGAAAACATAAATCTCTTATAAAGCTAAACCTATACCAGATTTTGAAAAATTACATTCATCTTTTCAAGATTAATTGAATCGTAAAAAATTATAAATGAGAACAACTGAACCTGAACCTTTTAATTTTTAATAATCTCATAAAGGTGTTGATAGACCATATCTAGATAGAGAAAATGAAATCAAAATTAATCCTATTAAAGAAGATAAAATAGAAGAAGCTAGAAAAAAAATGAGTATTAAACCTGCTAGATAACCACCTTCTACTAAAAAATGGGAAAGCAATTGTGAATTCTTAAAAAAAGAAAGAATTAAAAAAGCTGAAAAGCAAGAATTACTTAAAAAAGAAGAATAAGAAAGATTAGCAAAAAAAGAAAAAGTATTTATATTTATATATTTTTAAGTTTAAATAAAGAGTTTAATAGTCAGAAGCTATTTAAGATAACTCTAAAAAACTTGAATAATAAAGGAAAGATAGAATTGCTTAATTAAAAAAAGAATCTAAAGAATAAGAAATGAAATAAAAATAAATTATTGAAAATTGTAAGAGAAAGGCTACAGAATAACCTTTGCTTGTCGAAAGACGTAATATTTTATCTTATTATGATTAGCTACTAAAAGAGATGTTTAATTAGAGAAAATGAAACAATTGAATAAAATTGATAAAATGTTGAAGCAAAATGGAGTTATGAACAGAGATGAGTACTTTAATAAAGAAGAAAAAGCTATGCTTGATGATATTAATTATTTAAAGAAACATGGTTATGAAGATGATTTTGAAAAAGAATGACTAAGAATTTTGATAGCGAATGAATAAATTTCTAATATAATTTAATACTAATAT